AAAATAAAAGCCCAATTGTAAGTAAACATGTATGAATGCAACACTAGAGACAAAAAAGGGCAAAAAATAGCATATGGAAAAAAAATATGATTTTTCTTTTCTTTTCTAGTCTATTAGAAAAAAGTAAACGTGAACCACATTTGAGCTCAAACTGTCCTCTCGCTGTCTGCTTTTATTTTGAAGGCACGATATCGTCATAACATCCGCTTTACCTAGAGGTTATTTCCGTGTTTATTAGGATGTCTGCAGAAGTAATAATCAGTCAATTTTATAGAAATATATAAAATACGAAAATGGCGTGGAAAAGCGAAGGTTTGTGCGATGTTGCGCGTTTGTTTGCTAGTAGGTTTATTTATTTTCTTTAGCTCAGAGAAGCCTTCTTAAAACAATTAGGCTGTTAAGCTAACGTTGCTAATTCTCTCTATTCGTATAGCTGTAACCTGTTAATTGCAGTTAAATTATGTGGTGCTTTCACTCCAAAACCTTTGTTTCCAGTGTCTTCGGCAGACCGTGTTCTTCCTCCAGCCTCTCTGCGTCTCCTTGTCCCTCCAGTGAGACTCATGTCTGCCTTCGTGTGGCAGGTAGCGCAGCAGCTCAAAGTGATGCAGTATGACAAGCTGGCGGACTTCATCAGTTTGGCAACAGAGATGGTCCCAGAGCTGCTCAGTCCCACCCAGAAGGCTCAGCTCATCCTGGGCCTGAGAGCAAGGGTAAGGGATTAGTCCCAACTGTAAATACATTTTAATGTCAGTGAAGCTGAGATGAGGAATTAATAACCTATACTAATGTAGTACTTATCTATGTGGCCCCTCAGAGGGTCTTTTTCCTGCCTTCACCTTAATGTGCTAGTGCATGTCTAAGTAATAATATATATGGTAGGTTTTGAATATTGTTGTTAACCACAATTTACATTTTCACCACATTTAAAAGGCTTTGGTAGTTAATTGAACTACTTGGAACATTAGTGAACGTTCCCAGGTGTGGCCAACCTACCAAAAGTGCTCCAAGAGTACATCGACAACTCATCCAGGTGGTTGCAAAACAGTCTTGTTACATCTGGGATAAAAGTAACACAGCATTTCTTTAAAAAAACATCATACCAACAGTAAAACATGGAAGTGGTAGTGTGACAGTCTGAAGCTACTTTGTTGTTTCAGGACAGGATGACTTGCTATAATTGGTGGAACCACGAATTCTGCTCTATTCTAGAAAATCCTAAAGGAGAATGTCCAGCTATCGGGTCATGCCCTGAAAGTTTTTTTTTTTTTAGGTTATTTATTCAGCTTATTTTCGTCTAATATTGCAACTTGTTTGATGTAAGTGTGAGAACCAGACAAAAATCTGATCTCAGGAGGGTGGCAAATACTTTTTCATAGCACTTAATGTAAGGCACGAGTTCTGTTATTCATCATTTCATTCATTACATTTTTGTTGCTTTCGAAGTTGAAGTGTTTTGTGTTGCTTGTTATTACATGCCTAAATATTGTGCTTCTGCTCATAGTGGCAGTCGTTTTTTTTCCACAGTATGTCGTGATCTTTTTTTTTTTGCAGCTGGTTCTTGAGCTGTGTCGAGGTGATGGTGTATCCAACCTGCAGATGATCCAGAGTCAACTAGATAAAGTCCACACCTGCAGTGTTGAGCTGAGCTCTAATCAGGAGATGGTGGGTGTTTTTAAAGACAATTCAGAGCTGTTTCATCACCAAATTTAAAAAGACAAAAAAGCAAGCAAACAAAAAATTAGACAAACAATGAGCTTTAGGAAAAAATAGATTAAAAATACAGAAAAAAACCTTTTTCCTGTATTGTGTGTCTTCTTTTTGACAGGCCAGTTCTGATATATTGAAGACATCATACAGCAACTTTGCTAGCCTGGTTCAGAACATTTTGAATGTTCCTTTTGAGAAGGAGTTCTTTTTTCAGGTAAGTTGGTTTCTGAAAAATTCACAAGTCATAAGTTTTGAAGCCTCTGATTTAGCTACAATCAGTGGCTCATATGGTTCTAACTTATCAGTCACAAGGTAGCCACAATCTGTTTTTTTCGTTTTCTGCACACAGTACCATAATTTACATGTTGTATTAAATGTATAACCTATAATCTATGCTTCTCATCAAGTAGATGAACCTATAGTTCAGATATGATTTCTTTAGGAGGTTTTTCCTGCCAACTACGGCTCCATCTATAACCAAAGGATCCAGCAGCTTGTGTCCATCTTTCTGTCCAGACTTGAAGAGCTGCTGCCAGTACCAGACCTGCAGCAGGTACTCCAGCAGTACTACAAAAGTAATTTGCAGCACGAGATCAAAATTTGTAACCTCTAAGATTTTTTGTTCTCTTACAACCTGCATTTCTGTGGTCTTTTCTTTCCATCTCAGACAGCAGCTTGGCTCAATGAAACACCTGTATCAGAAGAAATTGGACTCCATCTGTCTGAACCCTTCAGTTTGAAGACCCTGCTGCATCATCACAGACAGACGGGGACTCTAAGTTCAGGTGGGAACCTTTTTTCTTTTTTTTTAATGAAGTATTATAAATGAGTGAGTAATGTGTAATATTATCGGGCTTTCTTCTCTGACAGCACGGTCAAGCAGTGAGGACGATGTCATTTTGTCCACACTAGCCCTCCCTTCTCAAATTGTCGCAGAGGGGTTCACTGAGGCTTATAGTCAGGAAGATCATGACAGTGAAGAACAAACACCATCACTGGAGGGCTTAGAAGAAGAATCAAGTCAAAGCTTTGATGTCACGGCAAATGATTGGCTGCCAAAAAAGAAACCAGGTCAGAAAAAAAAGTAGGAGACCAATATTACTCTTGAATCAGTTAGTCTTATCTCTCTGACTTGCTGTGCTTTGTACTGTTTTCAGGTCCTTTCTCTTGTTTATTCATCTGCCCTCAGTGCTCATTCACACATCGCATAAAGAGAAAAGTCCAGGAGCACATCCAGAGTGAGCACCAGATAACCGCTTCTATTCACACAAACTTTTCTGGGAAAAAAGTCAGGAAGAAGATACGTCAGAATGCTGTGAAAAATCAAGTAAAAGGTGACTCAGACAAACGGAGGAAAACCGAACCAAAAAGTGTGGCTAAAAACTGGGAATGCAAGCAGAAAAATGACAATGTAGAAAATAAGGAAAAGCGTAGATGGAAAGAGCCCAAGCAGGAAGACAGAAGATTTCTGAGCACGCGACCTGTGAACAAAAACTTCACAGAGAAAGAAACCAAATGTCCGATGTGTGAAAAGTTCTTTGAACATCCAAATCAATTGAAGGCTCACATGAAGCTCCACAGCTTCCCCTACCGCTGCAGCCAGTGCGAGAAAGGATTCACCAGCCCATCAGGCTTTTATCAGCACCAGAGGCTTCATAAGAGAGGACGAATATTCATCTGTAACAAGTGCAACAAGGGATTCCTGTGCAGGTATGCACTCAAGCAGCATGAACGCCTGCACAACGGTCCCACCAACTTGTGCAACATCTGCGGGAAATGGTTCAGCAAAGCTGGCATCACGAGACACATGCAGATGCACAGAGGGGAGAAAAACTACCTCTGCACCACTTGCGGGAAATCCTTCTTGTCTTCGGGCGAGCTGCTGATGCACACTCGGTCTCACACGGGGGAGACGCCCTACACCTGCGTCCAGTGCGGGAAGGGTTTCTCCAGCAAAAGTCACCTAAATGTCCACATGCGCTCTCATACAGGGGAGCGCCCATACCTGTGCTCTGAATGCCCCAAGCGTTTCCTTACGTTAAACTGCCTAAAGAGACACACACTCAGCCACAATGGGGTGAAACCATTCAAGTGTCCAAACTGCGAGAGAGAATTCTCGCAGCAGGGGAATCTGAAAAGACACCTTGCCACTCATAAACCCCACATGTAGTTTGCAGTTCTTATTTTATTGTCAGTCAAACAAGTATATTTCAAACTGGAATTCCAGAATGAACTACCTTCTGTACGAAGAAATAAGTGTGGGAAGCATTAACCATGCAATCGCTGGAAGTATAAGCTTTGTTTTCTTCAGTGTATTTGGCAGGCATTAAAGTGCACTTGAGCATATACTTACCATCAGCGATGTCAATTTCATTTTAGTTTCACACACCATTACACTCGCTCACATTGTAGTGTAGAAAATCTGATGATGAAGCTTTCTGGGTGGAGTGCTGGTTAAATATGCAACACTTTCACTTTTCAGCTCTCTGTAAAACTATTCTAACTTCATCCCTGTTTAAGAAACCTGCAGCCTTCCCTTTGAGCTGAATCCTATGAATGTTCTTGTGCCACTGAATTTTTTTTGGCATTCTTGTCAAAAATGTAATTATCTTAAAATTTGGGGGTTTTCTCAAAATTTAGATGTATTCACTTGAACAAAGTTTCAACAACTTTAAATTCTGACTTGTGGAAGGTGTTTTTTTTTTCAGCAGGGGAACAAAAACTCTGTAGGACACAACCCGAAACGTCAGAGAAAACCGGTGCAATCTACACATCCGTTAGCGCCTGAGTGTCATTTCAAGTTTCAGTTGTTTCTTTGGCATTGTCTTACTGTGCGGGATCACCTCACTGCTGCCAGGTGAAGTGATTAACATTTATTTGTTACAATGAAGAAGCCAGGAAATGTCCTCCCAGCATTCACCTTAAAGTTTCTGCAAATCAGGCACACCACCTCTCCCTCAATGACACCTTCTGCATTCAAACTTTGGAAGGAGCCAGGACTGATCCACAGAGTCCTTTACAAACGTAGGCATCTGGAAACTTAGAGTGAACACATTTTCTTCCAAAGTTGGACATGTTTAGAGAGCAAAAGCCCACACAGTTCTTAGAAGGAACTCAGTAGTGTTTTGTTTTGTATGAGACCCTCTTGTTCTTTGTGAAATAGCTGGTCCATACAATAGCTTTTCAGGACCTTTGATAGTTTTACCGTATTGCATTCACGGCACTTAGGTCATGTCAGAGTTAGTCTATTGAGGAACATGTGAGGATAGAGACCTGTGAAAAACACACACCACTGTAGGAAATGCAATTTATTTGCAATTTTTTAATAACATCATTCCTCAGATAAAAATGCAATGTTACAGGAATATACATCAGATATTAATTTAAAACTTGCTTTCAAGGGACCATACAGTCTAAATATACTTTTTCCTTTTTTATTTACTTGTAGCGTGCGTTATAAGCAAGACAGACTCTGTCACCAATGACAGACTGACAAGTTACAGATACAAACTGTACATTACTTATTTACAAATCAACTTTTTGTTTGGTTTTTTCTTTCACTTTTTATTGAAAATAGGAGTAGAAAAAGTGATTGAATTAATATTCTGATTTATTTCATTTGTATTCTTTCCCTTTCTAAAATCTAAAATGAAATGAAGGAGAAAAAAAATCAAGATCTCTCTTTTAGAAAAAAAAGCAGAACGAGAGGAAGAAAAAATAAAAAGGTTGTGTCAATCGTGAGATCATGTCACTTAGCAACCTCAGAACAAATGAAATTCCTCGCACAGTCGAGGGGGAGTGGCTTACGTTAAAGAATTCAGTTACAAAAAAAAGAAAAGAAAAGAAAAAAAATGGCCATCTGTCTCCAAAGCTACCAAGCACAATAACACACTCTAGTTCATTTTTCTGATCGTAAATAGTGCTGTTATTAAATACTACATTTAACAGTAGCGTCACTACTAATATTACAAGGAATTGGTCTTTGTGTGATCACCTCTCTCCAAAAAAATAAACTCAAGGATTGACAACAGACATCTCTCTGACAGAGAAGAAGAAGAAAAACAGCTCAGTCCTGTTAATGGCCCTTTAACACTTTGCATGAGTAGTGACGTACACGTAAGATCATACAGAGCAGCATAGCCCTGATATATAAATGAGGAACAGAAAGAAGATAAAGACTGTGCTGTACGTAGAGCTGCGATTCTCTTGCCACTAAATCAAGCTGGCCAAAAGCAGGGAAGTGCCTTCTTTGCTTAAAGAGATGCTCCTGCATCATCAGTAATGGAAGAAAACACTCATGATGCTCTCAAATGGGCCCACTCATCTATTTAAAGCTGCATCTGCACACGCACAAACAGATACAAGACCTCTATGTTTCTAACTCAACTGAGGCCTTTTATGTCTGTGCTGGTCAGAACATCTCTCTTCCATTAATGGCTACGTAGAAGGAAAATCTACAAATATAAAGTGACTCCTCAGGTGTGAGTAAGAGCATATAACTGTATCCTACATTCACGGGGTTATTGGAGAAATAATTCTCATCTGCGATGCAATGTTAAATAGCTCTTGTTTGTAAAATGAAGAGTGGAGAAGCAGATACAGGCGGAGACATTCGTGGTTTTAATGAGGTGAAAGCTGTTCCAAAACCAGAACCGCTGACAGTCAAGTCTGCATTGTAAAGCTGCTGCCACACCTCTGAAGTAATATCCCAAAGAAAGTCGCGTTTGCTGCTACGGAAAGACTCAATCTTAGTGTCAAAACTGAGTGCCAGGCAGGGCTCTCTGTGATTTGGAATGAATGCGGGATAACACACAAGGTCTTTGAGGTCCTGACAAAACAGTCATACTAAATATTCACATAAAAGGTGCTGTTGTAGGTGCCGCTATACAATGAGTGAATTCTAGTCTATACATTATTCCTAAACCCACTGGGCAAGCAAATTTCATCTATCAGGTTCAGCTAAGAGCTTAGCAGCCCTGGAAAAACGTCGCCACCAATATCTGATGACTTAACGTCGTGCTATGAGGGGAAAAAATGATTAAAATCAGCTGTTTGGGTGCTGCTATGTGCGAGTGCTGCTTAACATGCAAAGAGCTGGCTATGAAATTCAGCAGTGATCACTTATTTAAAGCTAAATCAATCACTTCTACTTTGAAGATGTTTTGATTTCATTGATCCCAACAGATTAAATACGTGTAATGATCATGTAACCCAAATTTGTAGTTTTAAACAGGCTGCGTGTCCTTGATCGCATTTAGTCCATCAAGGACTGAATGAAATGCACCTGTGCCCCACTGCATTTCCTTACCGACCTGTGATGTTTCTTCATAAGATCGCGTCTTTGCACGAGCAACAAACAGATGAACGTAAATCTTCACACAAAATCAGTCTCTCTCTCTCTCTTTTTTAAATAAATAAACTCACAGCATTGCACCTGAAACTTGATAAGGATGTTTCTTTAAATAAAACCAGATTCTTTCATCCGTCCCACAAGCTGCAACAACCTGCCCCTAACAGTCATTTAATATCATATAATATAGCTATAATATTCCTATTATTTAATATCTAAAATAGAAGACATGCAGTACAAAGTTGCATGTAACAGTATGTTCCCGCTTTCCGTTTCTGCCCTCTTTCCCAAAGCGTTTATTAGCATCGAAGTCAAAATAACATCTGAGGTGATTCTCTTGATGATTTTAATTCTACTCCTACGACAGCTGGCTATTCTAATTGTACCTGGAAAATAAAATACAATTTATATTCAAAATAGTCATCTTAAAATATCTTTGTCGGCATCAAACAGTGATCAACAAACGCTTCGATTTACAAGAAAATATAATATGCATCTGCTGCAACAATGGTAGATCCACGTGAGGAGATCTGAGTGACCGACACGGGGAAAGATTACAAGACTTCTGCTCTCCAGCCTCACACTCTCCGAACTGGCAAAGTTAAGGATAAACACACAACTCTAATACTTCTAAAAAGTGTGTAAAATGCTATTTTTTTGTTAGTTTATTTTCATTTTTTTAAAATACTGAACAGATTAAAAATTTCTCAATGTACAGCAGCTTTTCTCCGTAACGATAAAAATCAGTCTTGTCATCCTTTTGTGGCTTCCCAGTGTCAAGATTTTATGAAGCAGTGACCATGTTTGCATTTCCAGGCTAAATCCAGCAGATAACATTGTTGGTGAATAAATATGGCAAAACCAACCTGAATTCATTTTGCTTTCTTTGAAATAAACGGTCAAATTGCTGCACTGGAGTCTGGAGCTTTTACTGTAAATGCAGACAAAAGATCTTATCGAATTAGTTCATCAGGCGCAAAAATACTTGACTTCCTACTCTGCACACAACGCAGATGAATAAATGACTCTACACACACATGTAGATCAAGTCCTCCAATATCTTTTTTTGGAAGTAAAAGAAGAAAAAGAAAAGAGGCTACACGATTTAAACGGCTCAAACCCTCCCCCCCATAAAGATATCTAGTCCTTGGTAGGTGCCATTTTTGGTTAGGTCTGTTAAAAATGTACAGTGTGTATATGTTTTGCTGATGTAGGACTACTTGAAGAGAGACACGTCTCTCAGTGCTACAGTAGGAGTAATAACCAGACTCTGACCTGCACGTACAGGTTGCTGGTAGGACGTTTCAGACCTCTGGCCAAAACACAAAAACAAACACGAGCAAAAGCATGTCAGGATTTGGATCTGTCTGCTGCTTAAAGTTGGGGTCTTGAGCCTTTTAATTTTGGAGTCACAAGCAGGGGCGATGGATTGCTTTCCTGGGGTGTAGCTGATTGTGAAGCAACCTTTCCGAATCTTCCTCAACAGCTCAGAATGTGGGCAATAAGTTGAAAAGCCCCACGATTTACTATGAAACATCCATAAACGTCCATAGCTTAAACATTCAGTTTTCTTCTTCGGTGCTTCCTTATTTCCTGCTGCTTCCTTTTGCTTAAAAAATACATTAAAGTGGGAATTCATACTGACTTCTAGTCAGCAAGCCTACATAGAAGTGTCCTTCCTGTTCCTTAATCTAACATTCTGGCGATTAAATATCATACGTTCATAAATATTTTGCTATATATGGTATATAAAAATATACAATCATTGGCTAGTGGTGAGACAAAAGATATCATCATTTATATAGGACCAATATTTTATATCCCTATGCACATAAAACATTACTTAAATGTATTGTATAATCCACCATGTCAGATCACCCTCCAGAAATCCAAACATGATGAAATAATCTCTGCGTTCAACATTCTCAGGCCAAACGCCCACGTCTTCCCATTGTCGACCGCTGAATAGATTGTCACCCATCTGTCAGGGACTAAGCCGTTCCCCACTCCAGCTCTGCTTTCACTTGAGGAAATTACTTCCATTTGAACTGCACCCTTTTGTGGCAGAGGGGCTTTGTTTACAGTTTAACTGGCTGCAGGTGGAGATCCAGGACGGCTACAGCTTATCAGCCTGTTAAACCCGCTGTCATCTGTCTATGTGGGAAAAGAGAGCACAAGTATACAAAAAGACCCCCTCACACGTAGTGGATTCAAGGTGGAAGATGTGGCTAATAAATGATAAGAGCTTCACAGACGCACGTTTGGTGCACGTTTACCACAAACTGAAATGAGCCGTGACTAAAGGGGATCCATTATGCTTGCTTAATATTGTTTTTCTTATTCTCAGATGTTACCAGAGTAGTTTAGCATGATTTACGTTTTAAAATAATCTTATTTACTTTACACTGCGCTTTAGTGCAGCCTCTCTGTTCATTTATTATCTGAGGTTTCTTTGTGTTAAAAGGGAGTTTTTCCTTCCTACTATCGCCAAGTGCTTGCTCAGGGGTCATTTACCTTTCATTTTAGAAGATACAACTCTTTGATGTGGCTGCTGCTGTGATTAAGCACTATATAAATACAAGTGAAATGAGTTGAAACAAGCAACTTTAGATGTTTCAACTTCCTTTAAGGCAAATTTCTAAGGTTCGAAGCACAGGCGGGCAGAGCTTTTGTGCTCATAGTCAAAGATATGTGCCCGAAATGACCATTTTGGGATAATTTATGCATATGTATATTTATGTAGAGCCAACATCTGAAAAAAAATATTTAGATCAGTCAGAAGTTTGAGCTTTTGGCTCACACGGAATACTCGTACATACGCTATTTGAAGCTTTAAATATGAGGATATCGTAACAGTATATAGCTGACAGAAATATGAAAAAGCATATTAGGTCCCTATCAAAGCAAATGATTATACCTGAGCTTTTCCTGATAATCAGTCAGCTCTGTTCAAAGGGGCCCTCACTGCAGGTTGGTACCAATATCATATTACACACTGACTGTTTACAGCACAGCTACACACCAGTCTTTGTAGTAGATTTGTTTGCAGGTTTTGTATAAGATTATTTTCCATTTGAGCTGAAACACAAACATTTGACCAATATAGAATGCAATTTTACTCATAATGATGAGTGTTTATATGACCTGCAGCATGATAAAAGCCTAGTAAATTATTTGTGACTGGCACTGAATAGTAAAAATGTTAGAATATCATCCTATAGAGTAGAAACATTTGAATATATGCTGTGTAACTCCTGCCTATCTGTCCTCAACCTGGATTTAAATCAAAGTCTGTCCCAGTAATCAATTTAAAAGTAATATGGCAACACAAAGCCTTATTTACTGAATGCAAGAGGAAAAATATTAAACTTGATCATTTATCTGTTCTTAAATTTCATCTCACTGTCCTCCTCAGGGTTATGCATCAGGAAAATAAACTAAAAGCACATAAGACACAAGATATGCAAAATCCCCTTCCGTGGACTCTTCAACTGCTGTCCAGTCAGTTCTGAAGAAGAAATACTGCTTTTAATCATTTTATGTACACTAAATAGTCATATTTAACCTGAATCAAACAAAACAACTGCAAAACCTGGAACGCTCAAATGTCAACACGTGAACCTCATGCAATGTTTACACCCAACAAGCTTAATTCTTAAAAAAAACAAAAAGGGGAAATAAGCAACATAAAAAGATACAGTCAGAAAGTGGGAACCTGGGGAAATATGGTCAGTCGCTTTTGTTGCGTCTCCACTGACTGCTTGTTAATTCACGAAGAAAACACTGACCTTCAGGTCACTGCGTCAAAAAAAACAACAACAAAAAAGAACATGCTCGACCTACACCCTGCGACGAGAATGAAAAATAAATACATCTGCACTATACCTCACTGCAATGTACCTGATTTCAAGTATGTTAGGTTTTCTGGCATGGAAACCACCAAGGTGACTTAAAAACATAACAAACAGAAAATAATACAGCTTCATGATACTGTGTTGTTTTTTTTCTTCACTTTCACAAACATATTTACTTCAGGATCCTTGTATACAGTCATAGTTATTGCATTGTTTTTGCATATCTTGTGGGTTGCAGGATTACACCCACTCATACCGTTACGCTGCAACACAACATCTCGTGCTATTCTATGTGGGACATAAAAATGGCAATGCTGCTCCACTCCACACGGGGGCACCACAGCTCTCTTAATTCTGAAATCACACTCACCAAGCCTGGGTGGTACTTCTGATTTGCAGGGTTGCTTTGTGTATTTATGTATAGGCTAAAATTTATAAGGAACACAAAAGTAAAGTGAATGTAGTCTAAGTACATTAATTCATTATTTATCAGCTGGAGATGGTCCTGGACTGTTTATAATATGTTATGCAATCTTGTGGAAATGTTCCTATCCAATACTGTCACTCATTACTGGTTTCCACATTCATGGCTGTTGATATACTAGCTGATAAAATAGTCATAGTAAAAAGCTGATGGCTCCACTGCAGCAGAACAGCTAGAACCATTGACTTTTAAACTCAGGGCTAACTAAACTTCAGCTTGATGAACTGAACAAAGATTGGTGCTACTTTTCAGGTATTAACATTCTTGACTTTACCCAGATCTGCAGCTTATAGCAAAACTAGCCACCAAACGGTCCTGTCAGCTTATGCCAGCAAATTATTATTTTTTAAGAGGTGCTTTTACAATAATTCAAAGAAATGTTGACAGTATTTTTATGAAGGCAAATGATTTTTTGGGGGGCATAAGTTAGGAGGGTTAATTCCTTTTGACAAAACAGACTTTTTCAGAGTTTGCAGTGTCATAACCACAAAACAACATCATCACTGCCACTAGAACATACTCAACATTCACATTTAGTTTGCATAATAATGTCAGAAGTCTGGTACTGGCACAGGACGCAGTGTATGGCAGTGTGTCCATGCATACCTCCCTTCCCTGCCACAAAGCTGCTCTGCTTAACATGAAGGAATTAGAGCTCGACAGTAAGTCCTTAATGGTAAATTAAAGAGAAACGAATGGCCATAAGTTAAGACATACGAGTGTGTCTAGGTGGTCGTTCAACATCGCTGATGACTTGAAATGGCAAAAGCTTTTGCAGTGTATTCGAATTTTTCTTGGAATTAACTAGAGAAACTTGTGATTTAGGTTTAAAATGACTCATTAATGTCATAACTAAAACATGAAGATGCACTGTTTGGTGACTTTTGGTATTCTCCTGGTGTACTTTGCATTTTGAAAGTGCTGTTAACACCAATTAGATTTCTCCCTATTTGAGAATCCATCTGCTAGGCCATTGACAACCTGTATTTAAGGGTCTTACAGTGTAGGTGGAAGATGCTTAGTTTTTGGAAAATAAAACTGATAATAAGCTTCATCTTCGTCCTTCTGGGACTCAATTTCCCTCTTGGATTAATAAAGTTTCTCTGATTCTGAAATTTTTAAGACTGAATTTCATGAATCTGTTCCCCTTTTATTTCTTACCTGCACACATTCTGCATATTTATCGATTTCACTTTTAAATACTATTAAATTGTAGAAATAATAATAATGATAATAATAATACATGTGGCAGTTGGTACCAATGAGGTGATTTTGATGTCAGGAATGCTTTTGGAGACGGTACAGTACCGAAGTGAGACCTGTGCCCTGTGTAAAATGCTGAGGCTTGAATGAAATACCTTGCAGTGGTCGTACTTTCAGTGTATTCAAACTATACCCAAGGGTTGAGTTAAAAAAGAGAACGATCCATCACAAAATTTCAGGCTACTTATAAAGAAAAAAAGTAGCTTAGGATACAATTTCCATCCAAAATGTAAGCTTTGTGATTTCTATCTAATAATTTATCACATTAACCAAACAATTATCATCGTCTTATAATTATCAGTAAAATTTCCTGCTTGTATGCTAATTTTTTCAGCAAAACTGTCTTTACCAGTAAATCATAAATATCACAAACAGGAAGTCGGTTTTATCTCTGAAACCATCCCTGATAAAAAAATACATTTTATGATACGAGCCTCATATAAAGATGTGTGATTCAGAAGTCTTGCAGCATCTGTACACCAGCCCTAAAAGTTAATTTGGAGTTTAAACTCAAATGGTCGTGTAATGTGTGATACGCGGGGTACCACCCCCACTCTGAGTTCCTTTACGAGTTGTCACTGTGCCGCTATGAATAAGGGGACTTCTAAAATTCAGAGCAACAACCGCCATGATTAAGAAAAACAGCAACTTGCCAAAAGGCTTCTTACCGTCTGGAAAAACTGCAATGCCTGAAAGATCTATAATTCACTCTGACCTTGCTGGAGACCTTACAGTTAAGTACCTCTGAGTGGGGAAATAAAGAAAAGTTATGCAAAAACTAGTTGTTGAAGACAGAGCAGCTTCTGAGTCTGCAGCTTGGCTAAAAAGTAAAAATCTTGCTAATGAAATCACAAAGCTTTGGAAGCATGCCTGTCCATGGTAACCCTGTGTTAAAGAGGCCCATTATCACACATACACGCACATACCCACACACACCCTCACGTACATACAAACAAACAAGACCATACTTGTAATGCTACCTTAATTTACTGTCTAGGCTTAAAATCAGCTTTTAGAATACACAAGTAAATCACTCAAACACACACACACACGCACGCACACATTTTTTCTCTTCTGGGAAAAAAATAAATAAATAAATAGATACAATCTGTAAAAGGTGCATACTGATAGAGAGAAAGACCCCCCCCTCCCCAATTTTTTTTTAAAGATACACACTCTATCTCACGCATTCATACATCCTGTACTAAAACGCAGACACACATCCGCACGCACAAATATAGTTATGCACTCGCACACAAACACTACGCCCTGCTTCGTTACTTAAAACCTCTTAAAATTCTCCTAAAATAAACAGAGCAAAAATACATTTATAAGACCAGCACCCCGATTGTGCAAACAAATCAAGGATAAATTAAACCAATAACATCATGAATATAAAACAAAAATAGTCATGGCTAGCCAGTTTTGCACAATATTGAACTGTTAAATACATAGTGGGCGTGGTCTGTAGAAATCGTGTGTGGCAGCAAATCCAGTAGGATTCCACGCTGAGAGGAAGAGGAGGGTCCTGGAGAAGGAAGTGTCTTTGATTGACGTCAGAGTCTGTTTTTCATTTCAATCGCTCACTCCCGTTCTCCCGCGCACCCCGCCATCTTTGTTGCCCCGTTCGACAAACGCACGCCTCCCCGAGGGCTGACAAAGCAAAAAGACTCAGCGATGGAGGGAGAGGGATGGTGTAGTAACCAAAGAGGAGGGAGGAAGGAGTGAGGAACGGCGAGGTATGAGGCAGAAAGGGGGGGCTCGCTGTCTCTGCTTAGCCACCCAGTGCTCCTGTTCGGGGCAGCGAGTGGGTGTGGCCAAACGAGGAAACCCGGTGGAGGAGGCGGAGCCAGATCACGTTGACAGACGATTCAAGTTTGTCTCTCGCTGAGTTTTCCTGACCAGCGGTGGAATAAAAATAAAAAGAGCTGGCTAGCTTCCTGTTGGCCAGAGAGTGTCTTCCTCTGCCTGGGCCCCCCATCCCTATTGCAGCCTTATTGGGGCTGTTGGACCATCCCTCAAATCCTTCCCCCCCATTGGCTGGAGGTGGTGTGTCACCTCAATCCCACCTCCAGGCTGGCAGGGCTGTGCTCCATGGTTCCTTAGCTTTGGAAGAGGAGGAGAAATGAGATTTCAAACAGGGCTTTTTTTCATCCCTGTTTTACTCAATACAGCGCTTCATCATCAGTGAACCAAAGAGGAGGAGTTGACCTTTGACCTCAAGTGGGTGTGGTCAGACTGTAATCCAAACTGACCCCTTTCAAAAGCTGGTCTGCTGTCCCCTACCTGGTGTCATGGCGGCCAGACAAACAACAACAACACAAAGTAGGCGTAGGAAATGAAAACATTAAACACACTATGTTGTCTGCAGGAGAACCATAGAAAGGACTTCCTGGCTGTGTTGTTTCTTGTCTACCTTCATTCAGTCATACTTCCCTTTGTCTCTTTTCTTTTTTGCTTGTGTCTACTTTTCTGCGCTTAACACTCTGAGGACATGATAAAACTGTGAGGCACTTTAGAGACACACTCAGACACGTGTGGAGAACACACGCACATGCGCGCACAGATAGAAAAAAAATCCTAGATCACACTGACAAACGTGCGTAAGCACACGCTCGTAGAGTATATCGCTTTTACAGCAAACATCCATCCATATACTAACTCATAGACTAACAGAGTCATAACCAAGTGTTTAAGGTTGCATCACTGGCCGCCACTCTCCAGAGCGACAGAGTGTGTTTGTATGTGTGTGTGTGTATGTGAAGGGTGGGGACAGACAGAGCCAGCCGCGGTGCTGTAAGCAGCACCTGACAAGCATCAGTCTCTGATGATGTCAGAGGGGCCAGTTCGTCGATCGAACCCATTAACTTGACTCCTATAAGCTTGTCACACACTCCATATCCTCGTCCTCCAACAGCCCGCTGTTCCTCTGTCGTGCTCCTCCGATCACAAGCGAGCCTCTATAGTGCCCCTCTTCCCTCCCTCCTGCCTCCTCTTCTTCCTCCTCCTCTTCTGGTTCTCTCTCTCTGGCTAGCAGCTCCTGCCGCTCCTCTATAGAGGAGGGACCGTGTATGGAGCCTCTGCTTCCTGTAGCTTCTCCCCCACCTTCACTAGGACTCAAGCCGACCACTCGGTCCCTGTGCGTTGATGCTGCTGCTGCTGTTGTGTGGAAGGGGAGGACGTTGCCGTTAGGGCTGTGCTGAGAGGTGGAGGAGGTGCTGGATGTGGCGTTTGTGGGCGAGGTGCCGTTGAGAATGTTGTTGGCGGCGTGCTCCATCTCCTCGATGGTCATGTCGCAGGCATCAGCCAGCTCCGCTTTGGTCGCCTCAATGAACGAGGGGTCCTGAGCAAAATGACCCAAGCCCTCTGATATTAGGACCTTGACAGGGAAAAGATTAAGAGGGATGGACAGAGAGGAGAAAGGTTTAATGTGTCACGTGTTACAGTGTGGTGTTGAATATATGCTAAATAACAGGTAGAGAATATCCTTCATGATCCTATACACAGATACAGCTACATATAACTCATACTCACTGCCTCCACTAGACTGCCTGCGCTGCCGTGACACAGCGAGCTGGAGTCTTTCCCCAACAGCGACGGCACAGTGAGCGACACCGGCCTCGGTGCCCTTTGACTGGACGCTGGCATGCTAGGGGTGGGGCTAGGACTGGGCACCGGGCTATTCCCATTACTGTCATTGTACCTAGGAGGGGAAGTGATTTGTTTTAAACCTTAAAAACGTCACTTGTGCTTAAACTGTTTTTGGAGCAGCTTTATTTTCTTACCATGGGCCACAATTGACAGAGGGCAAGCTGGTATTGAGCTTTTCATGGGAGTTGGAGCCCTCTAGCCTCAGAGAGGGAACTCGCTGGTAGGAGGCATCACTGCATTGAGCTAAGGAAAGTATAAACATTAGTTAGAACTCTCTCACTGATTTAATATGACAAGGACAGAAAGTGCTTCAAAATTCTTGGTTAACCTGTGGGACTTGCTGGAGGTGTGGAGCACAGCCGACTGAAGAGGGTCGGTGAGTGGCTCCGTCTTAACAGAGGACTCAACCCTGCTACAGCCAGAGCCTGGAGGAGGAGAGGGAGAGAGTTAGAGAGGAGCTGCCGGGAGGATTATGATTTCTTTGCACATCTTGTTATGTGCATCTGTAACTCTGTGTGTTTGCCTCTATTATGTAGGCGTCCTGAGGCTACCTGATGATGTACAAGATGTAAAGGTACAGCCGTCTTCTGAGAGACGTCTGGCCTCGACTGTCTCCGGAGACACTCCAGATGGAAGGACGATCTCCGCCCTGACATCAATGCCACAAATATGCAAAAACACAGCACGTAAAGATGCGTAAATGACAGCAGGCGCAATTTATACGCAAGATTTTTTTAAAAAGTGGGTCTTCTCACCCAGAGAAGTGGGACAGAGGAAGACCCTCCTGGGAGACTGCCACCCTCCTCCTCCTCTTCTGTCGTCGACTTCCTCCGCTTCCTCCATGGGAGTCAACTGCTTACAAGTCTCATCGTGATACACCAGCCTAACAAGAGCACACAAGTGCATAAAATAAAGAAAAAAAGTTGTGAAATATTAAAGGCTTGGGGAATAAATGTGCTTTTTTTTCGTTGCTGTTTTTGAGTGCATATGTGTTTAAACGCTACATGTCAGACGAGAGCGAGTGGTCATCCTCATGGTACACCCTGTCTTCAACATAGCTCTCGTCGTATGTCTCCTCTGTTGACCCCTCCCCTCTTCGGATGATTGGCAGATGACTGTCACACGAGTCTGAGCTACAGACAAACAAGCAAACGGCCGAACAAACAAAAAACACAGAATGAACATAAAGACGCACGACACACGGAAAAACAGGAAGACAGACAAGTACATGTAAATACACTAAAAATTATTTGCAATAAAACTGAAAGGAGAAACCCATGGATGCTTAGCTACTGCATGTAGGAAGGCAAAGGAGGAGGAGAGTCTGAAAAGAAGCGGGTGGATATTGCAGCTATTTTCTTGAAGCAAAATGGTGAATAGCAATAAAAGGCAACACCTGGATTATAGCAATTGATAGCAAGACTGAAGTTCAGACATCTTTAAAAAACACAGAAGAGACTATATTCTGAAGGAATGTTGCTCTCAGGGAGCTCTATTTTAATACAGTACTTTTTATGCTGCTATCATCATTTGAAGGTCAGTAAAGTCCCAGAATCTGAGGCTATTGCTTTCTGCGAATCACTGCTTATCAGAGAAAAAAGCTGGAGCTGGCGTTTTTGGCGTCACTGGACAGAAGGAAATTTCCACAGCAACCTTTCATACAGTTGTCTGATAGGAAACTAGACTCATGCACCTTCTCTGGGCTCTGACAGGCTAATCACAAATATGTTCAGACCAGACCGAGTGAATTGTAAAAGTAGCGTAAAGAGCTAGCAAGACCATGTAGCGAGTCAGAATCTGTGGTACGATGGGTTAGGTACGAGACTTTCCCTCAGGAGACTAAGATTCAAATCCAATTTATAATATACTTGTGCTTGTCTGGTGCGAGGAGGTTATAATTCTCTTTGCGTCTCAAAGATGTCTTCTTCCCAGTCACATCCACAGTTGCGGTGAGAAGTTTATTTACATTCATCATGGGCATGAATGCCATGGTAATTTGGGGATGTTCTTTTTCCAGGGTGGAATAATTGTACAGCATACATCTTTAATAAGTTTAAAAACAAGATCTATATTTATTCTGGATTTTTTCTAATCCACACAGGTTCAAAAGTATACCCATGGGCTCAAATATATAGATACACCCCACCAATTTTCCATTAAAATTCCCTTGGCAAGTTCCACCTAGACCAGCCATTTGGCTCACCCATGTGGGCAGCTGCAAATATCAGTCGAGCTTAAAGGTGTCGGTTCTGGAGCAGAGGCTCATTTCTTGGTTGGCATTTTCTCAGCCCACTGGGATTTAAAATGCTTCATTGTGGATACTAACACTCGTCTTCCAGTAGTTTCTTTGGCAAAGTAGTGAAACATCAAAGTTAAAAGAGATCGTAGAACCTTCAGAACCACCTATTAAAATATTTAAGTTAACGCATGTATATATTGAGTCCCACATGGACAAGCCAAATGACTTCTGGAGAAATGTTTTATGTTCAGACGGAACAAAGACTGAGACATTTGACATCAGTGAAGTGAAGTAAAGATGAAGCTATGATCCAAAAAATGACCCCAAAAACAGATGACAGCAGGTTTTAGAATGGATAAAGCAGGCTGCCATTAAGCTTCTGCCTTCCCAAAGACTCAACTTCAACCAACCAATTTAAACGAACTCTGTCAATTCTGCTAAGAGTAGTCAAATATCCAGCCAGAATGATCCTGGAAGCTTGTTGAGGGCTACCAAATCATCTGGTTCAGGTGGAACTTTCCACAGGATATTTAACCAAATATTAGAGGGGGTGCATCTATATGCTTGAGCATGTATGTGTAGTTTTGACCCTGTGTGGATTAGAGACAATTCAAAATAAATTTAAACTTGTGCATGCAATTCAGTTTTTTTTAAATTATTAAAAATGTATGCAGTAAAACCATTCCTCATGGGGAAAAAAAACACAGTTCAAAGAAATCACTAAATGCTCCAAATGACCACAACATTCATGCCTACAATGAGTGTATGTAAACTTTTAACCACAACTGTATTTCATACCCAATACTCAAGCTTTAAGGAGACATTCTGGCATTTAATTTTTATTCTCTTCTTCTTCACCAGATGTGTTTTTACTTCCAAGCAACAGCACTTCAGTTTCCCAGAGTTTCGAATTAAGAGGCGTAATATGATGCCAAGTTTCAGTTTCAAGTCCCAGAATTTTTAATTTAATTTTTGTTAAGCAGCACATAAACCTCCCCAAACAACAGTGTGGTGAAGAAAAACAAATCATGTGGGGAAAAAACAATCAAACAAAAAAAACTAAAAATGCCAGATGTCCCTTTAATCAGCTAATGGTTCCACGGCAAACTCTGGGTTAGAACAACGACCTAACTTGATGATTTTGGCTAAGCCTTCGTGGATCTTAACCTGTTATTGAACTGATTAAATCCAGTCCATCAGAAAGCTTATACTTTGCTTTGCTTGTACTCAAGTGTATTATTTTAGATTCATTACTGTCCAAGTAGGCCTAATGAATGGGAAAAACTGCGGACATACATGCCAGCACACACAATCAGTTATCGTAACTAAAGTGTAAAGCTGGCTCAACATCCCAACAAGTGGGCAAAATAAATCAAGGCAATGATATACATATTAACTGACTGCTGTTTTTAAAGCCTTACAAATACAGTGACTTAATATGTGAAGTCGTTCAGAGAGGGATGCTAGTCGAAAGTAATTAAGCCACTAAAATCAAAATAAATGCAAAGTTTGGTAATATATTTTAACTTGACATGGAGCAATTAAAGCACAACTTTCAAAACATATAAACCAAATTTCATGAATATACAGTCACCGGCCACTTTGACAGGTAAACCTGTTTATGAGCTCATTAATGCAGATATCTATCAGAGTGTTATTGCCAGACTGCTTTGAGCTGATAGGAAGGCAGCAGTACAGCATCTCTAAATGCAACAACACTGAACCTTGTGCTACAGCAGCAAAAGACTAAAGAAAGTGCCATTCCTGTTAGCTAAAAACAGGAAAATAAGGCGACATTTTACACAAGCTCAAGCTCATGATGAAAAATGATCTTTGAAAAATACTGCTGTGACAATCAGATAGTGGACTCGGAATTTGTCCTAAAAAAAATGACAGGATGGATTCAACCTGCATCAATAGTACAGGTGGATAGTGATGCTAACTATGTCCATCCCTTTATGTCCACAGTGTGCCCATCTCCTGATGGCTGCACATTATTTGGGGTGGCTGTACCTCAGTTGAGCAGGTCATCTACTAATAGGAAGGTTTGGTTGTTTGATCACTGGCTGCTCTAGTCTAGATCTCATACAAGTATTCTAAGGGCAAGATAATGAACCCCAATGTGCTCCTGATGCATCCATTGGAGTAATAATGTCTGTAAATCTTAAACAAAAAGCACTTTGGTGTAGAAAAAAGTCTTTAATGAATGAGCCTGAACTGGTAAATGAAGAATGTTGCATGAAACACTGAGTACTCAAATACAGCTATATAAGAATCAGTCCATCATGTCATGAAACTCATATAATCCCAAACTAATTTCTTGACAGTGAGTTCTATGCACACAAATGGCCTCCAGATCTCAGTCCAACCATCACAGCAGCAGACATCCAAGAAAGGGTCTCAGTCCAGTAGAGCACCTTTAGGATGTGATGAAAGGCAAGATTCACATCATGGATGTGCAGCCAAGAAATCTACAACAGCTGCGTGACGCCATCGTGTCAAAAGGCAGTTTGAAAACAAAACTGGGTCCAACCTGGTACTAGCAAAGTGTACCTATTAAAGTGGCAGTGAGCGTAGAGCACACATTTCCACATTTGCATTAAAATTAGCAAATAAGTATAAGCTTTCAGATGTTTGTATGTTTCTATACAGTGTCTAACCCAGATCTGTCATATTACACCCCCCCAAAAAAACAGCATTCAGAGAAGCCTTGATAGGAAACGTTTGGCCCCATTGAACCAAACAGTCTATCTACAGCTTTGGTAGCTGATTTTTATAGTAACAGCATGTAGCCTGCTTTTTGCTATTGCAAAATAAAGCACTGTGTGCATAGCAACAAGTGTTACTATAGCACCCTGACAGCTATGTTATTTTATATGCCATTATGAGATTACAGACACACACACACACTCTCTCTCTTTCTCGCTCTCTCTGTCCCCTGGCAACATACCGCATGAGGCTGTCATAAAAACACGTCCTGCTCGCCACCAGAAACAAAAGACAGGGAAAGAAAGCAGGTAGTAAAAAGAAATAAACAGCTGAATTATTTATGTCTATATGGACATCTTTTTTGTTAATTATGTTAAAACAAGGCAGTTAAATATTTGTACTAATGCCTGGGCTATGGAAGAGGAAAGCAAATTATTCACAACACAATCAAGGAGCACATAAAGTAGGAAAGAAGCAGAAAAGTTCAAAACAAGGTGTAAATGGAAGCTGCTGTTGAGCCTGCACTCACCTCTTTGGAGGAAAGCACCATGCAGATCTTGGCAGCAGAATGGGGGTGAGTGGCTGCCCCGTGTGCCCATCCACAGTGCTTATAGATGGGCTCGGGAATCGACTGATGCCCTGGGTTGCCACCCCGGCCATGCCAGTGTTGTTGGCATTGTTGATGTTGGCGTTAGAGTCTGATGAGGAGTAAGAGGAAGGGGTGAAAGTAGTTGAATCCATGAGCTTCTCATGAGACGGGCTCTCGCCTTCACAAGGTGACCCTTTTTGGCTGATGTGCAAGGGACGCTGGGTAGTGAAAGACTGCGGGAAGGACCCACGGCCATCGCTCTGGTTGTAGTAGTTGACATGGTTGCCAAACAACCCTCCTGTGCGCTGTGGTGTGGGCGGAGACGGTTGAGATGGAGGAACACAAAAAGTTGAGAAGAGAAATGGAAAGGTTAAGTTAAAGAATATCTTAATAATGTACAGCACCACACCCCAACATCCATAATTCAAAACACTGCTTGCAGCAATGATGGGAATGCAAAGCAAAAAGCTTTTATCAAAAGGCAAAAAACTTCAGAACATTTTTAGTAAATGAAAGCAGACTGATAAAATTAAATAAACTGGACACTGGAGTTTTATTTTCTATTAACCTTCATTTTAGCTAGGCACAGACATTTGGCTGTCTATTTTTGGTACACAATGCAAATACAGCAGCAAAAAAAACTAAACAAAACAGCATATGAATGTTATAATGGTGGCGAAAATGAAAGGTCGATAGCATAACTCACCCTCTTACTGTAGAAGGAGCTGTGTGTATGTGTAAGTATGTAATCCTTACAGTTGCAGCGCTGAATATTTGTTTAGTGATTATAGTGTGTAAAATACTGCTGTGTTTATTAAAAACTTATTTTCATTGGACCCCACACATCCCCCCAAAATCCATAAATATAGTTCAGTGAGTGTAGCATTTTGTAGCCAAGCTATGTGGTGGAACATGAGGCTTTTTTTATTATGTCTTCTTGACTAAGCACATGCAAGAATGCATGTTTATGTGCATGATGCAATACGGCTTCAAGCTGGAGTTGATCATCTCTCTCTCTCTTTCTTTTTCTCTCTCTCTGGAGAGTGAGTGAAGGTGTGTGTATCCAACCTTTACCCTGAAGATATCGTCCTCAGACGCCGCTGACACAGGCTCCTTTACACCTTTATCCAGCTCCTCCTCCACATTTAGGTCTCCGGAGATGGCTCTCCTAATCTCCGGACCGATGTCGTGCAATGTCCGCAGGCCCGCCTACACACAGGCACAGCAGTGTTGCTTACATATCATGTTGTAACCCAGGAGCAAATTTCGAATGTCAGAAATCTACCTCTGTAATGTTTAGCTCTACTGTGGACAAAACTTGTCTGTATACCTGCAGAGAGAGTGCGGTTTTGGGGGGCACCTTGGCCACCAGCCCTTGTTCTTTCCTTTTCTTAAACTTGCGGAAATATTCCTGGATGAGGAAGGTGGCGTAGAATTTCCCGACTGTTACCTCGTCATCTGCAGAAACAAAAAAACAACAACATCATTATTAAAAAAGATTAATGCTTAAAATTAACATGCTGCAAGATTTTTCAGAAACTCCACTGCAAGTGATGCAACCAAGGTTTTGACCACAGTAAGGTGACAGTAATGTCTATTGGAAACATTCACTTCTTAAATATTTGTGCATAAGAAACTGTGCTGCAGGGTGTACATACCACCAGCAGGGGGCACTACTTGATCCAAGAGCTTCATACTGGTTCTCTTCCATATCTTCTTCACTATTGCCCTCAGTTCCTCATTGGCCTGCTCCAAGTTCCCTGCACACACAAAGCACAGTATGAAGTACACATTGTAGATTCAAACTAGAATTTCCATAGTTGGAAATTACATTACAACCCCTCTATAAAATAGGTTTTAAAAAAAGTGGGGCAAAATAAGAAAACACGCAATTTCACATTGTGCTATCAAGTATGATGATGTGCCCACTGGTGCGTACATGTGTGACCTTTACAGTTGTGTGCTAGTGATTGCCCCCATACGTGTTTTTTACCTTCTGTCTTTATCCTGAGTGCGGTTCTGACCAGGGCAAACAGTGTGGCGTTGAACATCACTGTTCCGTCGCTGTTCAGAGGCATGTTCATCGACACCAGACGCTACGTGAGATGAAAAACACACGCACCTTTTTAACACAGTGAATTGCCCTAACAGCTGCCAACAGATACTGGCAGCTGACAGTTTGTTAAAAATACGCAGACAGCAGTTCAACTCTAAGGACGCTAATCTTTCGTTAGAGAGATTTTTTTGAGATATTTTCCCAGGTACGATTTGTTGTCAGTATGTGTTTTGAGTCATTGTGCAAGGCGTTATTAGCTGTGCATATGTCACCACTCTAATACAACACAACATGAGGATTTTTTTTAACTCATGCAGTGATGGTACTTGAGCTGTTATGTATATTTTTGATAACTCTGCAGCCTTGTTTAGGAATTTGTGTGGCCATGCAAGTGTGTTTACCTTGCAAGCCACCCTGTGTGGACAGAGCTTTCCAAACCCGAGGGGAGGCTGGATTCTTCTGAGCAGAGTCACCACATCAAGATGTTTTATTCTCCCCCTAAAAACCAGCATAGATGTTGAATTTTAGAGACGCTCTACACTAGTGATTCTCAACCACGGATAGAGAGTACTCCAGGGAGTGTTTTTGCAGTAGAAACAGGATGCACGGACAGATTATTTCAACTACTTGAACATAACTAAGGATTTAATTAAAGAAATAAATCGAGCAGTTTTGAGCAGAAAGCTTCCCTGTCTACTAAACTATAAGCAGTAAAAATACACAGCCAAAATAAATGCATGAATATATGTTTGAAACAGATGAAAAGTGGCAAATATAGCTTTGTAAACTTACTTAGCTTCTGGGTCATATTCAGCCCAGATCCTCTTGAACTCGTCAAGATGATGTGGCCCCAGGATCGACCAGTCACGCGTCAGGTAGTCAAAGTTGTCCATGATGACGGCCACAAACAAGTTGATGATCTGGGGAAAATCAGAAATCCATAAGTTTCTATCGTACCACTCTAAACAATTATAGACCTGCCAGTTCAATCAACATGTACTACATTTCTCTACAGTCTATTAAATGTAACACACAATTTCAAAGTCATCTTTCTGGCACATTTTGAAATATGTTAATTTGCTATTTGTGGTTATGACAGTCACATGAAATACTCTCCTTTTACTAATTAAAATTAGATGTGTGCCTGTACTCACCAGGAAGGCACAGAGCATGTAGAAGCTGACAAAATAAATGATGGCAAACTGGCTGCCACAGTCCTCGTTGGACGAGCTGCTTTCATTGGTTGATCCTTTCTCACACGGCTGTTTGGGTGAACACGCCAGCATGATCTCCTGCCACGCCTCACCTGTTGCACATCTGATAGACAGACGCATGCACACAACCAACCAAATATGCATGGACGCCGACGCAAATGCCGGCGTGCATGCGGTTGTGAGAAAGACACACAACAGAAACAAAGAGGCACACATACACACATATTGAAATGCATGCATGTGCGCATGTATGCATTCGCGCATAAAAGCATGGAGTGAAGCACACACATGCACATTATTACAAAGACAAAAAGAGAGAGACGCAGATGTTAGACTTTGCTCTTATTACATCTGAGCATATAAAATATGACTATGTATAAGCACTTATATGTAATATATATATATATGTAATATATATATATATACATATATATATATATATATATATGATTTTTATCCATTCAGTTTTGAGTTCCTCTGCTTATCAAGTGTCCAAGTATACTGTCATTCTTAATGGAGACTCAGTGCTATTATATATTCCATGTAGGGGTGTATCCAGAATAAGAAAGGATAGACATTTTTTGAACTTGAGGAGAATAAACTTGGTGTCATGCTAGTAAATTATGTGTGATTCCATCCTTTCAGGTTCTGTGGTTTTTGTCCCCCTTCATGGAATCTTACCATCATCACAACCAAGCAGAAAAGAGGAAGAAAACCTTCAGGGCGTTTGTCGTAAATCAACATCAAGCTGTTTTTGGCTGCTCCCATATAGACTAGCATGTTTGATTTGGCAGTTTTTAATGCCAGAGCAGTTACACAAACAAAGTATACAGATTAGGAGAAAAGTGGAATAACAAAGACGATGAGGGAGTAAAAAAGAGCAAATGCCCAAATTAATCACCCTTACCTGAAGAGCAGCAGCACCGCCTGAGGGAATGTCTGGAAATTGTTGTTCCTGTTGATTTGCATGTGGTCCCGCAGAGCTATCTTACCAAACATCTGTATAGGAGGGGAGGGTGTAGTCACAGCACACAGCATATGATGTCAGCATTGACAAGTGAAAGTCGGTCACATTTAGTGGCCAGACATCCCCCAGCAAATCAAACCAAAGTGTCTCCTACTCATCGTCAGTGAAACAAACAATACAACAGCTTCCAGGTGAAACAGAGAGGAAGCAGAGAGACAAAGACAAACAGTAACTAAAGAGCAACAGAGAGAGGAAGATAATGGGAGAGCAAAATAACAACTTGACCAAACAGGAACAGACTCCAGGGGGACAGACACAGGACGGAGGCTTGCTAAAGGAGAGAAGGTGAGAGAAGATAACAGTGGGAGGGAAACAAGGGGATAACAACCTGACAGCTTACCTGCATGCCAATGACGGCGTATATGAAGAACAGCATCACTATAAGCAGAGCTACGTAGGGCAGAGCCTGAAGAGAGGAGAGATGCATCAGTGGCAAGTTTTCTGCAGGCTTATCCTACACCAGAGCTGGAGTCCATTCATTTTCATTCAAATCTCACTCGTCCAATTAATCTTCAAAGTCACAATCTATTATTTTCTTTTCTTTTTTCTTTTTTCAAACTTGTGAAAGTGAATGGATCTGCAGTCTTGTGTGGCACAACACCAAAAACAATCCAGGACAAATCATCTGACTTCAGAGTGAAAAACCTCAGCAAAATACAATCTGTTCTCTGGACTTAGCCAGGAGATCAGTCCCAACATACAGCACATGCACCAAACAAGGGCAGAACATTGTTTTTCTATATTAAGACGCATTAGCAAAAGTGCAGGACTGTGCTCCTGGCTAATATTACTCCTGTGTATAGAAGGGCAGGGCCAAGTCATGATGAATAAATGAAAAAGTTAAAGCCTGCTCATAAATTAAATAAATTCTATAAGCGCACAAAATATTAATGCATAGCTCAAAATGATATTCACAACCACTGCTGATTTTTAAGCCTGTGGTTCAAACAGGCAGCAGTAGTACAACATGAAGTGGCCCGTCTCAGCTAACGCAAGAGAGAGAACAGATGATTTTAATGTCCCCACAACTCTCTATCAAATGATTTCACTTTTTTGGTGGAGTGCTTCGTTAAACAAAACTTGTCTACGGCTTAACTCGCCTACGGGGAATGGTGAGCTCTCAGGGGTTAGTAGTAGGGCGCAGGGTGTTTGACGGTAATAAATAGAAGAAGAAGAAGAAGAAGAAGAAGAAGAAGAAGAAGAAAGAAAAGAGGAGAAGTGGAAAGACGAAGAAAAGATTTCTCGTTAAGGTATGGATTTTTTTTCCTGTTTTCAAACTTCATAATCTGCTTCTGTAGTTAGACTCCCAAACATCCTCTCCATTACCTCACACCATCCCTCTTTTTTTTTTTTAAATAGCATCTACCTGACCTTCTACGCAAGTAAGAGGTGGGGATGAGGAGGGACAAGGCGAGGCAAGGAAAGGTAGCTTGTGAGACTCTACCAGGCTGGATTTACACAAGAACAAGGGCATTTATAGCTGCATGCATCTCAGAACTGAAAATAATTTTTAAATTTAATTTACAGACTTTAAATGTGTGGTTAAAATTAAAATGTCTTGTAAAATCTCTTAAAAAACAGAACTTAAGTGAAAGCAAATAGAGCTCTGAAAGGAAGGACAAAGAGAGCCACTTCTCCCTGTGTAAACCCAACCCCCCTATTCTAGCATGTTGTGTCCGGTTCTCCCCTCACTTGGAAGGATTTGATGAAGGTCCACAGCAGGGTCCGAATCCCTTCCCCGCGAGACAGCAGCTTCACCAGCCTCATCACGCGGAACAGCCGGAAGAAGGTGATGGAGATCCTGGCGTTCTCTTCAGAGTTCTGCAGTCCCTTTTGGTGGGGTTTGGTGTTTTTTTTTTGTTAGAAAAAAAAACACAGGACGCATGGGAACACATGCAGATAGATAGGGAAATGAAGCAAACGCACACGCACACACACATATACACACACGCACGCGCATAAATGATCATGAAAACATGCATATGCACACAGACATACAAGTAACATTTGTATCCATATTTCCACCCACACATATGAGTGTTAATATGAATAAAAGGCACACACATACGCACACACACACACACACACACACACATACAGAGTTAATAAATGGAAACTTGCGTCCTACAAAATCCCATCAAAATCAACTGACACAAGAGATCTGGGAGAGAATCGGGCAGTCATGCTTACGTGTATGACTTCATGGAAAAATCCCTTGACATTTCTGATTGAATCCGCTTCATTCATGTTTACAAGCATCTGATACACCTTAACGCTGTTTCTTTGACCTCACCACACCGCCACCATAATCACAACAAAGAAAGCGTCCAATTACAGGTAAATCTAGCCATGCGCTGACATTTGACAAACAGGCTTTTAAACACTTTTGGGACCTCTGAAGTAAATCTTCTGCATTTATTCTGCACTGCTATAGACTAAAAATCTAATATCTGAGACTGGGACGGTCAGAGTCTTCCATCGATGGAGGTAAGCACTCTCATAAATCACTGTTAACAACTCACGGTAGATACAATACAAAAATCCGAGCCTGTGGGCTGATTCCTGTTTCAATAAATCATGCAGACAGGCTAATTGTTTGTCACAGATAAACTGGCCACCTGGAGAAAGAAAATCCAAGGATGATATTCCAGAGGATAAAGTTATTACTGCCCAGTGCAGTGACAGCCATGTAGAAACACTATTTACCTGTGTGGTAAATCTCCATATCTACACCATCTGTGTACTGTGATCTTCTAGGTCTCTTTTTATTTACAGAGCCTCTAGTATTTTGCATCTCCAGACATTTACGCATTCAATTATTTGAATTTTTGCTGCTTTATTAGGTAAGGTTAGCTAAGGTTTCTGTCATCCACAGGAAATAAGTCTGCGATAAAATATTCAGCCATCTAGCAGAGTGCTATTCTAATACAGATTTATTTATTTATGCTGTTCCTGCTCGTTCTCCAGGACAAAAAGGCAGAAAAACAAAGGCAACATCAGAGTTTTTGTACAGCACGATGCACACAACACAGCAGCTAACGGCCAAGCTAAGGAATAAATATCCACAATTTACACCACAAATTACAGCTGAATCGGGTGAAAGCAAGGATATCGGCTCATTAGCAATCCTAATGACAAAACTAGTTATGCAAAATTAAGGAGAAAATCTCCAGTTCACCATTATCTGACTGGCCAGTATGCACAAAACAAACCTGACTACACGCAACGTGTAACCAGAGGAGAGCTGTGCTACATCTTTCGTCACTGTAACAATGAAATGTGACCCAAAGAAACACGGCATCAGCCTCTCTGACCTCTGAATCTGCTTTGCCACTTGTATTTTTCCAAGAAGCCATTAATTCTTTATGTTAATCCCACAAAGAACACACAGTGTGCTCCCACAAAGAACTTGCCATTCTCCACACATCCTGCTGCAGTTTGGGATAACAGATGTTGCACGGTGCGTTACTTTTCAACATATTACTGATCTGATTTGCATTCATTATTTGCACTAGTCACTTGCTTTGTGTTGCAAATAAATCAAAGTTTGGAAAAATGACTAGTCACTTCTATTTTTATGTAATTCTGGGATAAAAGCTTGTTGACAAGTAACCGATAACATGCATTATCCCAAACTCCACTGCCAGATATGCTAAAAGTGGCACATCCTTCTGAGGAGTGGAAAATCACAATTCTGTACTGCATGTAAATACCACAATTGGACCACAGTGGGCACCATTGCACCATTGAAAGAGTGGGGGTGGGGGTGGGGAGTGAGCAGAAGAAGTACAGTGACAGTAAGTGTAACAGAGAGAGAAAGAGAGCCAAAGACAGACACTAAAGATAAGGAATTGTTGGAAATATTCAGAGACAAATCACAAGACTGATTCGTAAACAGACAGACAGATACAGACAAAGAGACAGATACAGACAGATAGATCAGTGGAGAAGAGTGAGAAAAAGAGAGACAGCGTGACCATGATGGCTCGTACTGATGACGAAGCGCGAAAGATACCACTTCCATACGGAGGGCAACTTGCAAGCCATGGGGAGGAAGTGGGGGCAGCTTGCGCCATGGCAAGAATGACAGCCACCAAGGAAAGTCACAAGACTCCAGTGATACTAGGCCTGCATAACGTACAGTGTCCTTCACCATATAGGACTACACATATATATACATTTAACAAAGCACAAACAACAGCGATATATATCTCGGCATGCTGCAGAAGTTAACAGCATGAGCGACAGAGGGGGAGATGACAGGGTGGACGAGAAGATCATACCGTGGATGGCATAGCAGAGGGAGGGATGGAATGATGGAGGGATGAAGGGATGGTGGAGGAGGTAGGGCGGCGGGCGAGGTTACCGTCGGAGCGTACCATTGGCCTTACCACAGGGGGGTGAGAGGAGGAAGAGGAGGAAGAGGAGGACGAAGAGGACGAGGACGAGGAGGAGTCAGCCGGCTTTAAGGAAAGGCAACAAACATCAGCACCAGAGTAGCGCCTTGGTGTGTGTGTTTGTGTCACGGTGCAAGTGTGTTTATGTGTGTGTCTGTGTGTTTTGTTTGTTTGTTTTTTTGAAAACGAAAAAAAAAAAAAATCACAAACCGACAGAGTTCAATCTCTGATCGAGACTCATATGGTGGTGAATAAATATAATCTCATCAGAGCCAGATATTAGAGGGAGATATTTGTGTGATATTACTGCATCTAGAGAGTGACCTATCCTCTGCGAGGGCCAGATCAGGCTGAATCACTTCTTATCAGATACTAGAAGACTGAAACATGTAGTGATGAGAGATGGTGGGAAATTTCTGTCCTTGAGGGACAAAAAAAATGAATAACGCTCAGGAGCTGCAACACAGGGGGTGAGAGTTGTCGTAGAGTGTGTGTCTATGTGCGAAAGCTTATATGTGTATATGATCGGGGATAATTTAAGTGAATCTACATTTAACCAAATTTACCTACATTAATCAGGTGCATCTTTCACCAGAGAATAGTCACAATTCATGTGAAATTAAGCTTTTTTTGGAAGTTTTACTTTGAAGGAAGCATCCACAGTTAAGATGCTGGTAAGATAACATATAAAACTCTGTAAGTTCCACTAACTGCAAAGATGATGCTAGACTGTGGAAATTAGAGCTTGTGTGTGTCTGCATGTACTAACGAGCACACAAACCTTGTGCTGTAGGGAGCCACCCACTGGTTTTCCCCGGCACTGCAACATTTCAGACTGCTGGGAGTGATAGATTAACTAACAGTTCAATCTATGACTCGGAAGCGCGTCACTCTGCGTTAGAAATGGCCGTGTTGAAATACCCCTCACAAAATAAACGCATCATTACTTCCTGTCCTTGTTTTCAAAATCAAAAAGGTCTGAGCGGGTGAGTTTAAAGGAAGAGAGAAAGAGGGTGTTTAAGAGACACAATAGGAAGGAAATTAAGGAGAAAATTGGGAAAGAAAAGGAAGAGTAGAAGAAGGGACGGAAGACATGCAGGGAAATTATTTTAGAGAGTTGGAAAACAAATTAAAAGAGGAAGAAAACAAGGAAGGAAGGATGAGGGATTTTATGGGATTTCAACAGGGCCATCTACACGCCTTTATGATAACACACACACATACTAACGATGTACACAGAGTAAAAAGTCTTTACGATGCACCACTTCTCTAAATAGAAAACGTAAATAATAGAAAAACAAAAGTAATAATCTCTTCACATAAAAAAGGAGATCAGGCATAGCAAGCCTGAAGAGAGAATATGACTATATGTCTGTAGGAAGGAGGGAGGGATAAAGGAAGGATCTGCAGGAAGGAAGGACGGAAGGGTATAGGGGAGGAAGATAACCTGATTTATATTAAGTGTGGACTAAGTAACAAACTAAAGGCATGTTTGAGTGTTTTTCTGAGGATTATGATTAAGGGCCATTGTTTGCAATGTGCTTTCATTTCAAATTGAAATCAAAGCTTTGACACAGAATCCAATTAAACTTAAAATATCCTTCATTTATCTTCTTTTAAAACAGATCAAAAGTAAAATATTGATACTACACTGAATTTTTGGCCCTGGAAGATCCTCAAATAAAATATACTTTTAGCAAAACACAAATTTAGTCCTAAAAAAATAATCAAACAGTCAAATTATAATATATACACAATATATAGGCTGAACTACAGTGCAGATGTGAGCACATTTAAAATGGATCCGAGTTGTTCACTCACATTGCACGGCAATTTTTTCAAGCAAAAAATTTCATCAGTTCAGTCAGTTTAATGGGTAACATGTGTGTCATGGGATTATTCTTACCCGTTAATTTACGTTACAGAAGCTCGAACATATTTTTGTTTCATTTGTCATATTTATGTATATTTTAAAACACATGTTTACATATAGAGCGGATAATTGTGGACCTCGTAGGGCATATGAAACACACGAGAGACCCATGTTACCCAGCTTTCATTTTATGTGAGCAAGCTGCACCACAATCAAACGTCAAAGAAAAGACAGAGAAAAAGAGAGAGATAAACATCCATAAAAGAAGAGTTCAGTGCATTGAAAAGGCTCAGAAAAAGAGAAGGAGGAGGAGGATGGAGAGGAGAAGAAGAGGCATTCCGAAGATAGAGAAAGAGATGCAGTCCATACTGGCATTGTCCGCAAGACACCGCTCAGAGCAAACCACTACTGATCTGTTCAAACTACTGCTACTCAAACCAAAACCAAAACGTAAAAGAAACCATACAAGGTTTAAGAAGCACCCGCAGGTTTCTGGGGAGAATTAGAGATCCAGGATTAAGGGGATATTCGGTTTTAATGACCGGAAGATATGCGGCTAATCTAAGTCAACCAGGCACCCAAAGGAGCGGCGAAGTGGGTGCATTTAGATTGGATGTTTTAAATATTTACTACAGGCAAAGTGATAAGGTTTTAAACGCCAGCCTGTTACTGCACTCCACTGTACACTCGTGTACATTTGAGAGATGCGACTAAGGAGATGGCGGCTGTTAAATACATTCACTTGTGGTTTCGTGGCTGATGCAGTCGCAGGCTAAGATTTTAAATGTCTATGTGACAGGGCCCCAGTTCAAAAACGGTCAAGAGTTCTCAGAGTGCGGAGGGTTTCTTAAAAAAAAGACACCGGAAAAGAAAAAAACTACAGGAGATAAAGACAGAAAAGGTAGCTTGGGCAGCGCATCGCCCAAATTATTAAAAACTACCAGAGGAGAAAATGAAGAGGAGGAAAAAAACAAACAAACTTGGGGCATGCCTTTAGGTTAGAGGTTAGAAAACAATATGATGAATCATTCAGAAGGAATTGCAAACCAATTAACCAAATCAATCAATCTCTCAATTAACCAACTCACTCAAATCAAAGGCAATCTCCAAACCAAAGTGCTAAGTGCAACATCAGCGGCTTGTATAGATGACAAAAGTGGATATCTCTGGCCCAACACACCTCAGTCTTAAGGTGGTTATTCAACCTGTTTATTTAAATTGACATTTGTGCCTTTCTAAACAGGAGCTTCAAGATCAGATACATTATTGAAGATACTTTATGATCCTTTATTGAGTCCCTTGACAGCAAATTGTTCTAATAACTAAATAGAAAAACGAAATAAAGAACATATCTAAGCATACCCAAGCAACGATAAGCAGCTTTGTCAGCCTCTCATGGGGACAAATGCCTTCCTCATGGCATGAATACAAGCGCTTAGCTCATACATGCCTGGAATACAGTAACTGTACTGTATTTGTATGCCTCACCGGTGCTATCTGAGGAGGAAAAGCTGCATATGAAATAAAGTACTGATCTACATCTATGAATGCTCTCTTCCTGCTTCATGTTTTCAAACCAGTTGGAATTTTTAAGCTGGTAATATGTGGATCCCCAATCTTAAACAGAAAAAGGCTGTATTTATTGTGACCTCCTAAATAAAAGTCTTTTAGTGCTCTTTATTATGTTAGATTAGAAGACTAATGACTGACTTTGAAGGACCTTGTTCTTTCTAGCTGAGGGACAGCCAAGCTATGCTTACCAAAAAGACTGGCTACACCTAGCTCTTTCCAAGATCACTGTAGAGAACACCAGCACCACTATGTTTTGTGACTGAAATCAAAAAAAGAGATGGGTGGCTACTTTCTTTTTAACCCTTCACCACAACTGGGCCAGCTCTTCTCTCCTGGTGTCTTTATTTTCCTTTTCAAGTTATGCTAACCCTCAACTTTGACTCAAACATGTAGTCAGAACTCCATCAACATTATACTAATATTAAACACATACTTCTCTAAGTTAGGGTAAAAGTACTGATTCTTGAAGGTGCTATGTCCTTGATTTAGTCCTTAGGAGGTCTTAAAATGCTCTCAATACAGCCTCAGATAAACAACAAAACTAAACATATTATACTGTGTTATTAATTTAACAAAAAATAAGTCAAAATCCAGAAGCCATGTGCAGGAAATTTATCTCTAAGTCAAACCATACAATGCTAAGGGACACTGCAAAAAAAAATCCTGGAAAAAGCTACATCTCATGCTCTACAGGCCTCAGTTAGTTATTAAGTGATAAAGTTCATGACAGTACAAGTAGAAAAAGAATGTGTAACTATGCCACTACAGCTTAGGTTTGCAAAATTGCATCTGAACAAACCACAAGACTTCTGGAATAATGTCCTTTGGCCATAATGCACAGCACAACATTTGGAGAAAACCAATCACAGCACAAACACCTCATACCAACCACTCCAACAGTGATTTGAGCTTGTTTTGATAGACCATCAACTCCTTTGAATACCAAAGCATACAAGGGTCAAACGTGAGGCGATCGGTCTGACAGCTAAGGTTTGGCTGAATTGGGTCATGTAACAGGTTAATGATCCGAGGCACAGCAGCAAATCTACAACATAAAGGCTAAAAAAAGAAAAGAATCAAGGTGTTGCAATGGCCCAGTCAAAGTCCTCAATGTTTGACACACTGCTTCTGGATTTTGGCTCAATTTTTGTTAAATAAGTAAGACCTAATTTTAAGAATTGTTAAGGACTAGATAATTTTAAAAAAAAAAAATGTCTTGATGTATTTTAGAATTGACAGAGGGTGAACTTCTTTTTTTTTAACCATAAGTGTATAGAGAATTACACTTGTTCTCGTGTTTTGTTTTTTGTTTTACAAAAGATGCAAAGCTTTTCAGATCGAAGGGAAACCATAAAAGCAACTTTAATGATGGGCAGGTAGAAGAAATGTCGAAGTAACATTAAGGTCTTCGGTGAGGCCGATCATTAGTACAAATGCACTTTCCTCTAAGGATAAATGAAAAGGACTGTGCAGTTCTTAAACTCTACTCCTGCCAAAGAGCACTTTCAGTACCACATGAATTAAACACTAACTGTCCCTGAAGTGTAAATACAATAGACACGCAACATTTGACTTGTGTTTGGGATATTCATTCTTATTCAGCCCCACCACTGACCATAGGGCCTCCACGTCGATGATAAATGAATTCATACATACATTTACATAAATTTCATGGGTCCCGAGTAAATCCATTTATGGATCAAATTGTTCCCCATGTCTCCACATTGCTACTGTTGGACAAAAGAAAATGCAACTCGTGTATGTTTCTCATAGCTACCTTAAGTTTTTCTCGCTATATATAAACTCAGAGCGCTTTTCTTCTTACCCTCAAAACACTGTTGTTATAATATGAGAATCTGCATTTGTTCCTTTATTCAGAATATAATTTCTGCATAAGATAAATTGGATACAGTAACAGGCCTGGATATACCACTGTTGTATCTGTCATGCTATACAGTGTCCATCATGCCAGGGGAATGTATCCCCTAAGGCAGTGATGAAAGACCAAATAAAACCAATGTGTAATCAAACCAAGTGCTGAGGAAATGCAATCGGTTCTATTGACAAATGCAATAGTCTCTGATGCTACTGATACTAAGCAGACCGAGGCGTGAAAACATATCTCAAGCAGCTTCAAATGTTAAAAGCCGCACTGAAAATTTGGCATTTTCACACTGCTTCTAATAGTAAAAAAGTGATTAGGATTGCTTGAGAAGGAGGCATTTTCTTACACAAAAAGAAAAAAAACCAAAACAAAATTAAAGGACGCGATACCTTACCACGTCCAAAGATAATCAGATATGGGAACAAAACAAAGCTCAAAAACTACAAAAACCCTTCAGAAGCCAGTAGTTTCCAGTTTGATTGGGCCCCATATGGCTGTTTTATCTGCCAGACTTACTCAGCCATCTCTTAGGTTAAAATATTGTGCAGCTGCAGTTTTCCTAATCATTTGAAAGCATGCGAGATGGGTATCAGCGCTCGGTCTGTTTGTGTGTGTGGGAATTGCAGAGCAGGCAGGCAGGAAGGGAGGGAGGGAGTTTGGACTACTTACGTTAACCTCAGTGATCGCTATGTCAACAATGCTACCCACAACTATCAAGGCATCAAATGTGTTCCATGCATCAACAAAATAATGCTGTGTAGGGATGGACAGAAAAGGAAAACAACAAAAGAAAAGGACAAAACATAAGACATTTAAAAAAATGGAAAGAACGGAAATTAAAGGAGAGAGGAGAAAAAATAAGATAAAAACCATTACATACATGAGCACTGGAGTTTTTAGTAGGAGTAGAAAGGGAAAGAAACAACAAAATTTAAAAAAGGCTAAAAAAGAAAAGAGGGGGCAGTCTGAAGAAGATAGACAGCACAGGTAGAGCAGCAGCGATCGGTCATGCTTGTCTATGAGAGGAAATGTCAACAGGAACAGGAACAGTAAGGAACAATATGCAACAAAATCACAACTAAAAAAAAATGAGAAAAAGCTGCGTAAGGCTGTTTGTGATTGGTCAGTGAGTTAGTTCAGTTAGTCAGGGGGATCAAACCTGAGTGTCACAGTGTGGCCAAAAAAACAAAAGAAAAGAAACCAAAAAACCCAACAACATTTTAGATACTGTGAAGAGTTAGGAAAGAGGACGCAAGACAGAAACCTTTGTGCTCAAAGCTAAACCCTGCCTCTGTTTCCTTGACTTTTTGTGAAACCCAGGAAGAAGCTTGTTCTCGCTCAGGAACCTCTGTGGCTGTGGGTGGGGGGAGTGGGGGTCCCGTGCGTGGCAGCGGCCATCTTGGTTTTAAGAATGAAAGGAAGAGAAGGAGGAGGAAGAAGAGAAGGAGGAGGCTGACAAAGAAGATAGATGAAGAGAAATGACAGCATGACAGAGAGTAACCACAAAGGAAAGGAGAGCAGAAGGTAAGACAGAGTGAGAGGACATGAGACAGAGAGGGAGAGACAAGGAGAGTGAAGTGGGAAGGGGGGGGACGTCGTACTTACGTTGATTTCACTGAGAATGACGTCTATTATGCTGCCAATTACGATGAGGAAATCAAACACATTCCAGGGATCACTAAAGTACCCCTACACAGGATGAGGTGAGCAAGAGGAGGAGGAGGGTAAGAAAGGTAGGTTAGAAGGAAAACAACATCTGCTGCCACTTCGCAGCCCCTATCAAGGTGGTATGAGGTTGTACAGTACATTGAGGAAACAGAAAGAAAATCAGCTACACTTGATGAACCAACACATGAAAGGATAAGAAGTTTCCACTGAGCTATCTGTTCATCGAGTGTAGCTGAATTTCCTGCTCTGCGAAGGATGGTGGGTTAAATGGTTATTTACATCTTCCACGTGCATCTCGGGGCTATTCAGCAAAGCTGTGGCAGTGATTACACTGAAAGCCGACTTTGTTTACTTAACTTATTGTGGGCAATTCTTTAGCAGCATTGGTACAAAGGCAGTATTTATGCAAAAATACATCTATATATCTTCAGGCCAGAATGGTATTATTCACATTTATTTTTATAGTGTAATTACAAAGAGCTGCGTCTTTGAACACTAATGAACCTTGGAGTTTCGTCTGCATACACTGTCGTCTAATACGTCACTGTGATTATTCTTTTTTTTTAAACACATCTGGACCACTTTGACTTTTATCGTTCTCGGTCATAGTTTTGCATATTTTACAGGAATGGAACTAGCGACTAGCTACAATATTTTCAACAAAAACATTAAGTCGTAAGGTATGCATGACAAATATCACGCAACTGTTTGCACCAATTGCTAAATTGGTGGCTACACACACTGACGGGGAATGGAGATCAATCTTGCTGATCTATTTTAAGCTTCTTCATCTGTCATCAGCAGCTGAGATAACATGAAAAAAAGGGGGGGAAAAACTCCTCCTGCCATAATTCGTCTGCACAGTGCAGATATTAGAAGGTATCCTTGGCAACAGTGGTTTTAATGAAGTTGCTTTCAGTTTTAGGAATAATAATGAGAACTGAGAGTTAAATATTAGTCAAACGGGGGTTTGGCATTAGTACCCAAATACTCATTTATGAATTGATTAAATAGAGAGATTAGACAAAATAAGCATTGTCTAAATAAATAATTAGATTATGTGATTCATTAAAGACTTAAAAATATAAAAGAGTGGGAAAAACTGTAAAAACATGTAAAAGTCTTTGTTAGTGTTACTGTTGCCCATCCATTGATCAACCTATCAAAAAGTATTGAGGTTAAATAGAATGAGGCAAACATTACTGGAGCGAATTCCTTGCGCCTGTGAGACCTGAGAAGCAAAAGCATTAGTGAGCTCCTCAGTCCTGTGCGATGGCTGTTTAAGGCAAAAGTTTATCAAGGCAAGGAAAAGCATACACAACACCATATGTCCTAAGCACTGTTCATTGTGGCTTGGGAATCTGCTGTCATGCTGCACCACAATAAACACAAGAAAGAAAGATGCAAAACAAGTATCAGTTCGTCAGTATTTTATACGTAAAGAGTCACAACTTAACTGGTGATACTTTGATGTTTTTTAAAAAGAGAAACGCTGCCTTCATGATCTGGCAGTTCATCTTCCTCACATACATAACACAGCACAGCACGATGTAAATTCCCAAGTCCTAAAATTCATTGTTCCAAAATCCACTGTTGGCTAAAATACTGCAGAGCATGCATTATGTTACTCAGACAAAATGTTCTAACCGTAGCATTTCGAAAGTCATTACAAGATAACCATCTTGCAACTATTTAAATAAAAAGCACAAACTTTGCAGAGGATTATTGGAAGAAACAACAAAACAAAACAACAGAAGACTTGTAATTTAATTAGTGGTTGGAAAACATTGTGTGCAAAATAGTAGATGGTCTTCATTAATGAGCTCAATTGACTTTTGTAATAACTGGAAAACCTTTGTTCTTTTGATTAGTACAATGCAACAGTAGTCAAAGGAGTAAAGTATAATATGAAACTATGTTATTGCTGTTGATTGCGTTCAAGATTCTCCACTAACCCTGCGGTAATAAGAGGGAGCATGCCCATCTGTTACTGTTTAAATAGCTGAAGCACCAGGAAGTTCTTAGATTGGGCACGGCAACAACAGCAGGATAACAAGGGAACAATGGGATTAAGCACATAAACGCTTTCCTCTAATCAAGGTTTAAATCCATCGTATCGTAAGGAAGGAAATGAAAAAGAATTATGAATTTAGAGCACAACAATCCGTCTTCTGCAACGCTGTGACTCAAAAGCCTTTAAAAAAAACTATTAAACTCTTTTTCTTCCGGGCTGCAATGAGCACTGATAGATAGACCTGTGAGTTTATCTAATTTCATCTAACATTACATTATAAAATGTCTCTTTGTCTGTGCTTTTTCACATTTCTCTAGTCTGTAGTCCTACACAGGTATCACTGTTATTCTAGCCTGCTGTTTGAGTAGTGAACATACCCTGGGTTTGAAGGCGATCAGTTTAAGGATCATCTCAACAGTGAAAAGTCCCGTGAAGAGCATGTTGAGGATGTTCATGGCATCATTGAAATTTTTGGTCTGTCCATGATGCTGCAGGGAAAAAAAAAACACAAACTCATTACGCAATGTTAGTTCTATGGGAGTTTTTTTCTAAATGTACACACACATTACTCACCTGCATGGCCAGACAGATGGTGTTGAGAAGGATGAGTGTGAACATCAAATACTCAAAGTAGGTGGAGTTGACCACATACCACACCTTGTACTGGTAAGGGTTCTTGGGGATGTAGCGACGCAGCGGACGAGCCTTTAGAGCGTACTCCACGCACTGACGCTGTGGCATACACACACAAACACAAAGGTGAGCATTTGCCATTTACATGTGTCTGCTGATGTATTCAGCTGTGTGTCGCCCTGTTCCCAGACAGTCATGGAGGAAAAGCTGTAGAAAAGTCTTTTGGCACGCTAAAAAAGCTAGACTACTCTTCTATCCTCTGTCTGCATTTACATGCTTTTTCTGAAACATGGATCATGTCAGAGAACACAGCCGCAGGCCCTTGGCCTCGTTCCTTTTGTAAGGTTTAGTCTCATCTTTTTTGAACTGCTGCAGCTCCTCCTGGCTGGGCTCCTGAAGTGGTTCTGCCCCTAAAACTCATGTTCAGCCTCTTCAGATTCATCCGTGTCAAACCCCCATTGCCTGGCTCTTATTCCTTCTCCCTTGTGGCTCCTAAATGACACAATGACTTTCCCGCTCCTGTCAGAACAGTAGAATCACTCCTCTGTACCTTTAAAAAAATCTCTCTGCTGTACTACGAGATTTAAAGTCAGAAAGTTATCACTATACAAACAAAAACAAAAAAGCTCCAAAAGTACTAATAATTTTATCGAGTAGTAACTTTACACAAAATATACACGAACACTACCTGGTTTTTGTCCAGCTCGCAGTTCTTATATTCTTGCTCCCCTTGTTCCTGGAATGTGACGATGACGAAACCGACGAAAATGTTCATCATGAAGAAGGCAATGATGATGATGTAGATGATAAAGAAGATGGAAATGACCACGCGGTAGTTGTAAATGGGCCCCACATCCTCAGCATGAGAGTCAATGGCTCGGTACAGTAACCTGACAAAGAGACGGAAAATGAAATCTGGAATTTAAAAAACAAATTGCATTTATTCCATTGTTTAGTAAGAAGTTTCACAAAGTTCAAAATAAAACTATTATATTTGAACACTGTGCATGTATTCAAATTGTTATGTATTTAAACAGTCAGTTTAGTCAGTCTGAAAACCCTCTACATGTCATTATTATCACTTTGACCTTCAGATCAATCAGAATTTTGAAAAAGAGGTCAGGGGTCAAATGTGACATAATATTTTAAATCTTTATACGGTACTATCTCTATGTTGACAATAGAAACCACACTTACCACAGCTATAAGGCTTATTGTCAATTTTGGACCAATAAATTACTGAGTTGACCTTGGATGTGGATTGTAAGAATGACCCCACTCTACACTCTTACAAAGTTTTATCTGAATTCAGACACAATGACATGCACACACTCACTTAAACCACAAAATTGGCAGAGGTCATAAAAAAAGGGATCGTAATATATATACATAAAAAAACATCTGCACTGTGTTGTTATATAGACACACACCCTGGCCATCCCTCGAAGGTAGACACGGCAAACAGTGCCATCATGCCTTGTAGAACATCATCAAAGTTAAAGTCACTGTTCTCCCACACTCTTGGGGCTTTGTCAGGCTTCCCCACATCCCCGTCTTTATATGTGATGAAAGAACCTCTGTGGACGCAAACAGACATACACACACATAATGTAGTTAGACTGTAAGAAAAAAGATTAAGATGCCGTCTGCAGGGGGGATCTCTTACCTGCACTCTGCCTGAGTCTGCTTAGAGTTGTCGGTACAGTAGAAGAACTTGCCCTGATTGAAACACGAGACAATTTCTTAGTCAAAATTTAAAAAAAGGGTTCAAAAAGTACATTAACTAACTGATCATATTCCCTTTTTTTACCTTAAAGAGTTGCACTCCAATACAGGCGAACATGAACTGGAGTAACGTGGTGACGATGACGATGTTGCCAATAGTCCTGATGGCCACAAACACGCACTGCACTACATGCTGCAAAAAACCCACCAAATATAAGAGTGAGTGATAAGTCTATGCCTTTTTTTAGAGGACAGACAAGTGTTCATTGTGTGTATTTTTTATGCGTGACTATGTCAACCTTTAGTCCTTTGGCTCTGTTGATGGCCCTCAGTGGTCTAAGCACGCGCAGAACTCTCAGGATTTTTACAACATTAATTGCGCTGGACCTGTAGACACACATTTGATTAAACTACTGACCTGCCAATTTGATTGACCACATCTTACCATCTTAAAAAAATATATTTGTAATGTTGGAACAACACACACCATAAACTGCTTTCAGTAGAGTCTTTACTTTTAAACACAAACTGTGGAGGCTGATGCAACGAAAAGCTAATGAAATGACAAAAAATGGACAAAATACAATGGACAACTGAAATAAAAGTTCACAAGAAATTAAGAAAGATGACAAAAAACAGATACAAAAAAACAAAAAGGAATTTAACACAGCCTTGATTTGTTTTTACATAAAATGTAAAACTGAAATTTTGTCACGGCTTAGAGTGGAGAGCACCGAGAGGCAGAAGTCGAAGGCAGGAGAAGTAACTGAAAGTGAGCAGTTTATTTGGCTGCTGAAAAATTGTACAAAATACAAAAAAGACCAAACAGGAACACAAGGAAGATGAAAAAACATGTAACACCATGGGAACACAAGAAGGTAAGAAAACAGACGCCATGACAAACAGAAAGGTCGGAGTATACATACACTGGGAACTGATTACATGATGGCACACAGCTAGGAAGAGGGGAGAGGTGCACCAGTCAGCAACAGGTAAAAACAATGAGGGAAAAAAATAGAAAGTAAAACTGGATACAGAAGACTAACCTTCCAAGTAGAAGAGTAAAATGAAAAAAACGCCGAGATATGAAGACAAACACTAAACAAGGTGACAGAAACAGTGGGAACACAAAACAAAGACACCAACACAGACACGAAAAAGGAACTCAAAGAAACAATGGGGGTACTGTGAGCATGAAAAACAGGAACAAAAACCCAAGAACCCAGAACTCAACATCATGCATTTCATCATCTACACCAAACTACTGTTATTATTATTTTAACTAACGTCCCATAGCTGTGAAAGCATTCTTCCCAAGAAGACCAACGTGTATTATGTTACTAAATAAATAAATCTCTATGCCTAGCTAGTTGCTGTAATGTTGTTAATGTTATTTATTTTATAAACAGAAACTATTTAGCATACTTACTTTTTTAGACAGTTTAAAGCAAATAGACTTTGTTAATGTTACGAGTAGTTCTAGCATCAGTTATCAAGGGGTCACTTTCAAAAGCAGAAAGCATACAGTCACGTCCATAATTTGTCTGACAAAGACACAATTTTTTTTTAAAACTTTTTCTAAACTACCATAGTGGATTTAAATCAAGCTATTAAGATGTGAATAAATTTCCCCCTTTCAGCTTTAATTCAAGGTGATTTTACAAAAGTTTGCAATAACATTTCAGTAATTAAAGCCATTTTTTGATACCATTTTCAGAGAATCAAAAGTAATTGGACAATTAAATGACGAAGCACATTTTTAAATATATTTTTAAAGATCAATCTTAAAGAAATATCATCATACATCATGTTCCTTAGTTGTTTTTGTGGTATTTCAGCCCTTCGCAGTGTTTCTTCTATCTCTCTGATTTTTGAAAAAGTTTATTACCTTAGTTTATTTTGTTTTTAATGAGGGCCTCCTTCAATTGCACTGACATCTCTTTGAGCCTCATATTTAAAAATGCAACATTTTTTGCACTTCAGATATTATGTTTGGGTGTGTCATGAAATAAGAAAGGAACAGGCCATCAATGTTAGTCCACCAATTGTCCAATTGCTTTTGAGCATCTGAAAATAGGAGAGCGTATATGAAAATTGTTGTAATTCCTGAACCGTTCATGCAAAATTTTTGTAAAAACCCTTAAATTAAAGCTGAAAGTCTGCACTTTAATTGCATCTTGATTGTTTGATTTAAAATCCATTGTAATGGTTCACAGAGGCAAAAGTGCCAAAATTATGTCACTGTCTGACAAATTATGGACCTAACTGTAGCTCCTCAAAAACAGATATTAGTAACAGTGTATCCGTTACATAGTAATGCACATGAAACACATATAATATATGGACAAACACACATAATGAAACAACACGGATGGGCCAACATAAAGACACAGGCAGACATTTACAAGCAAACTACTGTGCTGTAAAAGAGTGTCACTACAAGCCAAAGGTCAAATGGTGTGACCTTTTTCAGGTAGAGCTTTAAAAGAAAGTGATTTACATACAAAGGAAAAAAAAGAATAAAATTAATACCATGACATTTTGAGTTGTACAGTAACTGTCTGGAAAGAGCTTTAGCATTAGTCCTTCTCTGATCTGAACCGGGCCTCTCTCAGCGTGATTATTTATACTTGAGCTGAGTTGGTCAAAGTCGCTTCCCTTTATTTAAAAAGCCAGTTTTTCAGATAAATGAAGGAAAAATACAAAAACGCTTTCCACTGTGTGACACAAGTACAAGGAAAAGAAGGTGTTTTCAAAATGTCAACATAAATAGATTTCAAGGAGTGACTTTCTTGATGGGTAAAGTTGTGATTTGGAGGGAAACAATACTCTGTGGTAACTTTGAAACAAAGAGTGAGAAACAAAAGAAAAAAATTACCCGCTGTGCAACTTTTTACAGAGAAATGTGGAAGTTAAAGGCACTTAAAGGTAGCTCGTGTGGAGTAGGATGTTATCGATCGCATATCACAGTCAAACCAACTGCTAGGTTATTCGTGGAAACATCAAATTATGTTAAAAGGCAATATTTTAACTGTCGGAGTCTGATGACAGGGATGAAGCACGCCATCCACCTGATGAAAAGGACTCTGACTAGCGATAAGAGAGCAAAAATAGATGAGGTCATCAGGTATTGTTTTGCTATAGTTCTGTCTTCTTAGCTGATGTAAGCCATATTTCATGCTGTCACATTATGAGGCTTACTCGGGGTGACAACACAAACAAGCAATCTGTCATATGTAGTGTATACAGTAGTTTTTTTACATGCTTTTTTATGAGCGTTTTTTCACAGCTTCTCTACAACTTAGCCTATACTTAAAATGGGTTCTTATTTTGTAGGAGTAAAAATTAAAAAAAATTACATCACAGAAGTGGTTTAGTTGATCATAACATCATTGCAGTTCTTTTAACTGTGATAAATAAAGAAAAATCCCACTCACTCGCTACCTTTAACAGGCAAAAATCACTAGATTCTAGCATTAGGGCGTCATTTCTATAACCCAGGAGAGTTGCATTTATCTAGAAATATGAGAACTGAATTTGACCTGCCCCCAAAATCCATGACAAAAAGTGAAAAAAAGAAGAACAAACTCATTAACATCAATTGGATATGAAATGCGACGAGAGTATTGGAAGACCCAGGATAATTTACTCAATGTAACACTTTTTCTGGGTAGAAACCAATTATGTTGCTGCTTGCAAAAGATGCATTCTGCAGTGGATCTGGCTCAAAAAGAACCGCATGTGTTCATTCGTTACAAGTTCAGTGTTATCCTACTCGACAAAACCATTCAGTGACAGATTTGGTTTTATTTGTTCTTGCTTTGGGTGAGTCTTCGACTAAACTCTCCAAGACTATAGGAATATCAAATCAAAAAAAGTGACAGCTTTACACGGTTCAGGTGACGGTCTGTTAAAGGGGTTATAACACGGACTAATATGGACTTACGTCGAGAAGTCTAGTCTATTAAGCATCAGAGACAGAAAGTGCAGTATAGAATATTAAACATCACAGCATTTCAATGAGTTATTTGCTGCAAGAAGAAGAGAACATTTTAATAAACATCACAAAGAGACAGCGGATTAGGAGTAATGAAGTGTGAACTTGTTATGAGAAGACAGAGAAGTGTAAAGCACGGAGCAATTTGCTAATAAAAACGTTTTTTTTTTCCGACTTAGGCACTTGATTTGTGTCTCACGCAGTAGTCACAATTTGTGTGATTATATACGAGACAATAACACAAATGCGTGTTTAATGATATTTGGAAAATGTTAGTAATATCGGTGAACAAAAGCTTACAACGTGACTGGATCAGGTATAACACATGCACCATAAAACATCGTACTGTACTCACTGTATTCCAGAGGAGATGAGGGACACGCTGACCACCACCAAGTCCAGGATGTTAAAATAGTTTCTACAGAAAGAACCTTTGTGGAGGAAGGCGCCATAGGCTGTCATCTGCAGGGGTCAAAGTTCTGATTATTACCTTTTACCACGAGCAGCAATATTTTAAAAGGGTTTAATGCTAGCTTACCAGAAACAACACTATATTACCACATCTACAGTTTGCCTATCTATACATCTAAATCCAGTAAATAATTTTTGGTAAGCACATGAACCAGCTTGTAATGATTAAATATTATTTGACAGCCAAATGTTAATTTTAGCAAAGAAAAAAAAAAAGAAACTGAATGAACAGTGAATGAATGCTTTAGTGTGCATCACAAACATTAAATACTACCTTAAGAATGATCTCGATGGTGAAGAGTCCAGTAAACACATGATCTGCATAGCCCAGGATCTGAAAATAAATACAACACTGTATTTTAACTGGACTTGGACTACCCCTGCCCGACACGCAAAGGCTTTCTGAATGAACAGAGATCAAAGTTGTTACACTGTTTCATTTGCCATGACAAAGTTCTTAATGAACCAAGATTGTTTAACATTTCACAAAGCAAAGCTGAATGAATTCAGAAATGCTCATGACTCTCTTAAGGCCACAGTATACACGCTGTAATGGTCGCTTCGCTGACCACTGCAAGTGATTTTAACAGAAACCCGTATTTACACCTGCCGTTACAGTGCAGGAAGGTGCTGCGGTATTCTTCTGAAGGATAGGTGTCGCCACTCAGACAGTATCACCACACAAGCACTAATGTAGGAGGAGAAGAAATCAAAACCGGATGTTTTCAAACTGTATATCTGTATGTGTCTGAGCTCCTGTGCTGGAATATTATTAAAATGCCTCTAAAAAAACGACACGGCCGCTCAACTCAGCTGCGGTGGCTGTGGCGCAATCCGATTTACAAAAATCCAGAGATATACGACTAGTCGATGCGCCACTCACGACCCAAACACAGCATTAGAAGGCACTTTTTTTAGGTTCATAGTCTGTACATAAACGATGGCAGTAGCTACTGGGCCTGAAAAGATGGCGAACTCTTGTGCTCATCCATTGTATAGAAGTAAATTTTTATACAGAAGATTAAAAAAAACAAGATAGAAACAGTCAAAATGCTCATCTAGAGGCTTCAGAACATCAGTCTACAAACCAGTTGGTGATGTCCACTGCCTATATACAATCTATTTGTGCCCCATTAGCAGAAGCACTCTTGAAGCCCTAAACTTGGTAAAATGTGTGGTAAAACTTGGCAATGAATGTGTGCTTCTTTTTGGGAAAAAGCAGGACTTACGGTCAGCTGCAGCATAACATAAATGACTCCACAACTTACTGAAATAATGATAATGTTCAGGTCCAAATGAACTAAAATAGAAATGCTGGAAAAGCTGAAAAACAGGTTTTTTGATTTCATTACTGTTTCAGACTAAGGTTAATTGGTTTAGACTAATAGAATATATAATAGGATCCTACACCAAAGCAAGGGAAAATATAATAAAACAGATCTTTATTGGCCCCTGAGGAATACGTCTCACTGACTGAGACAGGAAACTGTGCACAAAAACAGATACAGCAGCACACATGGTGTTTACATTAGACTACAGCTCCATTACAGTCATAAACACCACATTAATTTACGAACAACGGGCTGATGTCACACAGCGAGTACAATTGCAGATATATCCTTCGTATACTGCAAAGTAACTGAAAATGTTGCGGTTTCACAGCTCGCCTTGAGGCTAAACACGAAGTCTCCGCTGCTGCATACGAATTAAAAGACACAACTTCTTACACATTGTCAAAACAGACTGTGCAAACACTAAAACAGTAAATACATTCATTTCTTGATTAAATGTTGACATTTAGCAAAACAAACACAAAAAACACCCTCATAAATATATTTTCACACTGTATGTGTACAAAATGATACAATAACTACTCATTTTTCTTTTTGGCTAATAAAACAGTTTAAAAGAGCGCAAAGCTTAAGAGGCGTTTCATATCTTCTTAACATGAAGTTAGTAACAGTTACAGTGCTCGAGACGAAATCTCATTAAGTGTAACGGGCCACTCACAATAAGCTTTGGTTCCTCTATAGCTATAATCCATTTAGGTCAGAATGAGTGTGCGTGTGGGCATCTAATTATGGCTACTGTGCCTTACTGTACATCCGGCATTGTATGTCTTTATATACTTTATTTATATTGTTATATATGGGGTTTTTTTTATGCTTACAGGTGGCTGTGGCTCAGGCAGTAGAGCTGGTCGTCCAGTAATCATAAGGTTGTTAGATATACTGCCGAAATACTGCTGTGGATACTGAACCCTGATTTGCCCCAGATTCATTAATTGAAGTGTGAGAGTGTGTGTGAATGATAGATAAAAGTGCTTAAGTATAAAAGCAGTCTATGAATGCGCTCGAATCGAGTAGACGGGCGTTATATCACTTATATGCTACCTTATTTCTGAAGGAGTCATTTTTGACAGGGTCTTCTGCCGCTAGACTGATGCTGCTGAGCAGGATGAAGAAGAGGATGAGGTTGGTGAAGATGTTGTGGTTGACGACCTTATGGCAGAGAACCCTGAACCTAAAAAAACAAAGTTCAAGCGAGAAAGAAAGCAAAATGTTTTCATCTAGTCTCTTTAAAGGAAAAGGATGCCAAAACGAATGCAGCAGAAGCTGACTGAAATATTGGGCGGAGAAAATGAAGTTGGAGAGGAAGATTACTTGTTGGTGTGGCTGAAGATAAAGAAAGCTCGGGCCTCAGGCATGGGGACAGCCTTCTCCTTCAGCTGAATGTCAGAGAGGGGCCGTGGCCTCGGGCCCACAGGCATCTCTGGCTCATCATCGTCTTCATCTCCTGATTAGGAGGAACGGGAAAGAGGAGAGTAAGATAAAGAAGGAATATAATGTTATAATAACAAAGTTTTTTATAATAACAAAGACAAAATTCTCAATGAAACCACCTCTTACCTTATACCTATAGGAACACATAATATTTATGGCTGTGGTGTGTGTTACCTATATAATCATTGGCGGGATATGGATTCTTCTCTTCGCTCTCATCCCCACAGCAGTCATCCATGTTAATCTGACACGGAGAAGTATGAGATTTCATTCATTTTTTCTCACTCCTTTGAACACACACACATATTCTCACTGAGTCTTTGTGTGTCTCCATGTACCTTTGTAGCAGTGTTGGTCTCCCCATCAGAAGTAATGGACTTCAGCTCTATTTTCTCCTTCTTCTCTTCCTCCAGAGGCGGCTTCTCATTTTCATGACGCTTCTCTGGACTGCCAAGCCTGGAGAAGGAGAGAGAACAAGAAGATCCTCAACTCTAGCATCTTCCCTTCTCCATACATAAATTAACATCAGAGGGACAACATAAAGACGTGTAATCATAGGGGGTATTTTCTCAGCTGTGAGGAAAATTACAATTTTCTGTTGCACCTTTTCCATAGATTAATACAGATTGCAACTAAGCAGAATACATTTTTATGATTTGTGCTAAAGAACACTTTCTTTCTCAGCTGCACTTTAAACTCAACTTTGATCTTTGCTGGGAATTAATCTTTGCAATGACACTGAAAAAAATAATAAACTGTTGTAGAGAAAAGCCAAATAATATATTTGTATTCTATGTATGAAAAAGCAATTTTAGTGGTTTAATTCAAGCTTCTAGTGTCAGCATCCTTATTCACCTTGAGAAATAATAGGCTATCCAAGATGCTGCAAGCTAATGTTTTCCCTGGGTGCTGTTTGGATTGGCCGGGTCTCAACATCTCCCTCTATCCCTTTACAATTTTTTGTCTGACTGCCTCCATTCAGTTTTCTGCTTTACCTGGCCAGTTTTTTCCTCTCCTTCTCCTCCTCTTCCTCTTTCTGGGCTGATGTCAGGCTCTCGGCGTCTGCCAGATTGTCTACAGCAATGGCCAAGAAGACATTCAGCAGGATATCTGTTCAGAGGGGTGATGTTAAGGATGTTGCTGACCCATCAGATCACAAACAAAGCTGGCTATAAACAGGTGGCAACCCCTGGGGCTAAAAAAGGAAGCCAAAACCTACAGTTACTGTAATGACCACTTGAAGCTTGGGTTAAAAAGTGAGTTTTGTTTTGTTTTTTGTTTTGTTTTTTGCTTTGTTTTATTCTTTGCTTTGAGCCCTGTGTACAGGAGCTGCATGCTAAAACATCTTTTGTTAAAAGGGTTGGCGTAATAAGCATATGCTTCAGCCAGTACCTTTTGATTAGCCTTGTCTTGTGCTTTCTTGCTTTGTGGTAATCTTTTTTCTTTATTCACTTTATTTGAATGCTAATCAATAAATCAAAAAAAATATCAGTTAATGTTCATAGACTGTTATGTTGAAGTGATCAGATAAACAGCATTCAAAACCAATGAATGCAGACTCCAAAGCCAAATGAATAATCCTGCACTGGCTTTGGATTCAGCAGGCTAAGCTGATGAATAGTAACAATTTAATCTGAAAAACACATTTTTAACTACTCTGTACTTTTAAGTACAGACGCTCAGTGGCCCGCACTAAAATCTTTTAGCTTTAGGGAAAGCATCTGCATGCAAAATGTGTTCTTTTCCCCTGCAACTGCATCTTAACAAGGGGTTAGATATCAGATGTGACTCAGTGATTCAAATCACAATCAGCAACACCAGTATCCATTTGATGACAGGATTAAAGATTGTCAGAAAACAAATTTGACTGTCAGTTACTGGATCTGATTCACCATGTTTTTATTTTGAAATTCTACATGTATAAGCATCACGCCCGCATGTCCTGGGTTACTGGTGTAGCTATTCCATGTATTTGTATTTACATAGCACCAACATCTAAAAGGACCTGACATTATAATAGAAAGACTCTGCAACAATCTAGAACAACCAAAAGATTCCCTATGAGCAAGTGCTTTGTGACAATGGGGACCTCCTGTTGTGGTAGGATACAGTTTCCGCAGATGAAGAGGATGATGAAGTAGATGCAAACTAGCATGCCAGGAAAAGCTGGACCACCGTACGCCATGATACCATCATACATCACAGAGTTCCAGTCCTCTCCGGTCAGGATCTGTAGAGACAGAAGACAGTAAACAAAAATTTATTTTCATTTAAAAGAAGCCTCAGCCTCGTGATAGTGACAGATTACATTTAATTAAGCAACATTATAAAATTTACACTTTTTGTATCATTTAAGGACAAAGGTAAGGTGACAATGGAGGCCGGACACACTTCACGAGAAAAAGTGGAGCATGATTACCTGAAACACAGTGAGCAGAGACTGGGGGAAGTTGTCAAACGTGCTTCGTCTGGTCTCGTCAAAGTTGAATTTTCCCCCAAACAGCTGCATGCCCAGCAGGGAGAAGATGATGATGAAGAGGAACAGCAGGAGCAGCAGGGAAGCGATGGAGCGGACAGAGTTCAGCAGGGATGCCACCAGGTTGGACAAAGAGTTCCAATATCTAAAGGAAGAGAAATTTAGTTGAAATGGTAGTCTTGTTATAATATATTTGGTAGGTTGACTGTTTTGATTTCTTTATAGTTTAGAAGTGACTAGAAGGGAGTCTGATAGTTTCTGTTTCAGTTTAACAGTGCTGCCGGAGTTTCCTGCTAAGAAGTTTATGTTTTGCCATCCTGGATTCATGATTTAGTGTTTCAGTTGTAGGATTGAACTTTTCAGTGTTTCCTTTATTGTTTTTTTCCCTCTGTTCTGTGTTTCTGTTTTATGTGTTTGCCCTCCAGAGTTCCTTTGTCTCTGTCTTCATGTTAATGTGACCGTCGTATCTCTGTGAGTGTTTTGGTTACTCCCTGTTTTCAAGTGGGTGTTTTTGTGCGTCCTGTGTATGTTTTTCTTCCAATCTGCCTTTCTGCCATTGTCTTTACCTGTGTGTGGGTGTTTTACCCTCCTGTTATTCATTTCCTAATTAGCCCTTTGTGTATAAATAGTCCAGTCTTTGTCACAGTGTGTTCTCTGTGTGTAGCCTTTGCATGTTTTGTTGTGCTGATTTTTTGTTCTTAGACCTTGTTAATTTTTACTCCTGTTTACATATATTGAAAGCTACTATTGAAAACTTTGCTTTGTTATTAAGGTTTCTTTCTGAAATCCTGTATTTGGATCCTCACCCCTATGCTTCCCAAACCTTGACAAGTCTAAAAAGCCAATATACAATCACTGGACTGTATTTGGTATACCTGTTAAACTGATTAATGCAGTGACTTAAGTGACTTTGAATGTGGCATAGTTGTTGGTGTCAGCCTGGTCTGATGAGCTTTGATTTATGGTGCGACATTCAGATGGTCGAGTCAGCATTTGGCATAAACAACATGAAAGCATAGATCCATCCTTCCTTGAATCCAGTCCAATACCTGGCTGTTGTTGCTGTCCATCTCTTTATGACCACAGTGTCTTCTGACGACTGCTTCTAGTAGGATAAGGCGCCACGTCACAAAGCTCAAATCATTTCCCACTGCTTTCCTAATCTTGACAATACGTTAACTGGACTCTATTAGCCTCAAAAGTCACTAAAGCTCAATCCAATAGCGGTCGTTTGGGATGTGGTGGACGGGATGTGTAGCTGACAAATGCTATCGTGTCAACATGGACCAAAATCTCTGAGGAACGTTTCCAGCACAGCGCTGAATCTATGCTTTGAAGAATTACAGCAGTTCTCAAGGGAAAACTGCATCCAACCCGTTATAACGAGGTGTACCTAATGAAGCGGTCAATGAGTGTATGTAAACTAGTCACAATAGGAAATTCTCACTAAATGATTACTGTGGCAAAATAAAATCCAAGTTTGTTTGTTGTTTTTGGTAATTGCATCACAGACCTATTGTAACCTGTTAGTTCTTCATCCTCTGTTTCCGCTTTGCTGAATGCAAAATTAAGGCTCCACTGGTATAGAAACACTGTAAAACGGGGCAGTGTTAGCTCAGTAGGTAGAGTGGTGGCCCCATGATTGGAAGGTTGGGGGTTCGAATCCACTGAACGGCTACCCTGAGGTACCCCTGAGCAAGGTACCGTACCTACACACTGCTCCCTGGGTGCCCATGGCTGCCCACTACTTCACTGAGTGAATGGGTTAAATGCAGAGAGGAATTTGCCCACGGGGATCAATAAAGTATATATTATTATTATTATTAAAAAGATGTTACTTTATGTTCAGTATAGCATTAGGTATCTGGGTGAGTATCTTGCCTGTTGGAGGACTGAAGGAATAACTTCTGCTTATCAAATGCATATGCTTTAAGGTCTACACTAACCTGGTTATTTTGAAGATTCGGAGTAAGCGTACACAACGTAACACAGAGATGCCAAGAGGAGACATGATTTTTGTTTCCACCAGAATGGTTTCAAGGATCCCTCCACATACTACGAAGCTGTCGAACCGATTGAAGAGTGAAACAAAGTAGGCCTGTGAGGAGCAAAACGCAGACGTTAAAGGTAGAAAAAAGGGTAGAATGTGGTCAATGTTAACACAAAACAGTGATACAGTGTCCTACCTGCAGGCCCAGACTGTACATCTTCAACAGCATCTCACCAGTAAAGAGTGCTAGCAAAACCTTATTGGCTATGTCTGGGGAGGGAAATAAAGGGGGAGTAAAATTAGTGTGGGATGAAAATATAATGCCAAAGAAAGTAATTGCACAGAGGTCAATAATTAAGCCCAGATCAGACATATTACTGTTTTGTGTGCATGTGTGTGGGTTGAGCAATGTACCTTGTACATCAGTTAGCCACTGAGGCTGCTGGTGATGTTCAGAGGCAATGGTCAGAGTGTTGAGGAAAACCAGGAAAATGACCAGCCAATAGAAAACTTGTGATTTGACTGCTGCCCGGCATTTCCTTCGACACAGCCTGTTCCACCTCCGAGAGTAGCGGCTGAGAAGGAAGAAGCAGAGAAAATAAGTTGGGAAAAGGTGGGAGAGAAAAGAGAGGTAGGAGGATGGGACAGAGAATGGTGGGAAAAGGGAAAGATGAAGGAAGAGAAAAGGACCCACGAGCAATAGGATAAACCAAGAAAAATAATCAAAAGAAAGAAACGAATGGTGAAAAACAAATAGAGGAAGTGGAAGAAGGACAAGAAAGAGTCAATTAGGTTTTCTATAAAACAGTGATGACATCATGCCTCGGTCTGTGGTCGAGGGTTAGTCATCCTCAAAGGCGTTTCACAGAAAGGAGAAACCAGTACAAAGAGCTGTGCTGGAGCATGAGATATGCACTGTTTGAAAAAAAAAAAGAACATTTGCGCTCTAAAAATGATCGAAGGGGCAAATTTAAAGTGAAATATGTTGTATTGTGTCTCACAACACAAAGGAAAACAATGCTTTAAAAAGAGAAGTAGCTCATTTTAGGATGCCAACCCCCTTTTTTTTTTAAATTTAGTGATTTTAATATCTTCCTCTATGCTGTGGTCAGGTCTTTTGCACCTTGAATGCTCTCTCATGTTGGAAATTAAAGTCATTGTTTCTGATAACTGCTAGCGTTAAACTTCGCAGTCACATCTGTGTGGAAAAACTCCACTCAAAGGGTGTTTCGACGCTCATATACTGATAAGGTGTCGACTGTAATTTCATAATTGTCCTATTCTGGTCAAGTGACATCAAAAACACTAACGAAGAGCAGCTTGTGGTCTTGTTGGCCTACAGGTGGAAAAGTAGTGACGCATGAATTTCACTTAAGATTTTCACATAATTTCAATAGCCTAGACACTGATTATATATTTATGGAATGAATTGCTTTAAAAAAGAACGAGCAATTAATTGTTTTTTCTCCAAATAAACACTGTAAGTCACTTTGTCATGATTTTGTACACATGTGGGTGTCTTTGCATTATGCGTACTTGACCCATTTGTCAACCGCAGCAAACATGCAAGAGGATTTTTCATCCAATTGTGACTCCTCTAATTAAAACAGATCAACACAGCCCACCAGAGAATCTTCTCCCTCTGCCTATATATGTTGCATCAGTCTTCTGTTTAAATGTGCGTGAGTGCTTTTTATAGTCACTTATGGCACACACTGGCTTCTGCCATGATGCTCACACTGAATTTTACATGAGACACACTCACAACACAAGCAGGCATGCATCGTTACGCTACAGTTTTTTATCGTGTCCGTGACTCCAATTCAAGAAACATTAGTGTTTTTCAAATACTTTGTGTACAGAGGGATAGTTAGTTCGTTGTCTCATCCCCGCTATGGAGATATCAGTGGAAGAATTTGGACCATTTTATGGAATGGTTGGAAATTTTTGAGAATTCCTTGATAATGCTCATTGTTTCAAGTAGTGATGAATATGGATTTTGCATGAAAAGTCAAATGTCGTGTGCATAAAGATTAATCTTGAGGTTATTATTAGATGTTGGGATTCAGATGATATTTTTATTTTGACAGATACTGTAGGCGCTATGAGTGGCTCAATTAAAAAAGAAAAAAGAAGACTGATGGTGATGGGCATCTTTGCCTAGTACCCCTGTTTCGTGTGTCATTTTGTGAGATTATTCCATTCGTAGTGCCAGTGGCTAATGATGTGGTATACAGAAGTTATAGAATGATTCAATAAATCCAAAGTTTACCTTATCAAAAGCTTTTTCTCCATCACTGTAACAACAACTTATTGTTCTCGCAATTAAATTAAATAGTCTAAGTGTATTATTTGAGGAGTAAAGTGGTCCCTCGCTATAACGCAGTTCACCTTTCGCGACATCGCTGATTCACGGATTTTTTGTGTGTGCAATTTTTCATGGTTTTTGGGGTTATTTTTTTTGGTTTGTTTGTTTTTTGTTTTTTTGACAGCGCATTGTGTTCTGCGTCCTGATGGGCTGTAGACCACTGTCAATCAATCTTGTGTGGGTCTTCTGTACAGTACAGAATGCGTTCAGCTTGTCAAATTGTTTGTACGTTTTCTCCCCAACAAACACAACAATGTCAACGAAATGCTTTGCACCGTCAAAGGCAACCGCGGGTGCCTTTGGTTTCATTCTGTAATACTGGACATATTTTTTCTACAAAGGTTTGAACTTTGAGGGTCTATAAATAAGAGTGAAAAGTGTGAAAAAGTTCATGCCTGTCTGAGAACAGTGTGTAAAGTGTGTAGTGAGGGGTTTTACAGCCTCAAAACATCTCTATATATAATTGTAATTATATAATTGTAAAAAATAAAGTTGGCTACTTCGTGGATTTCACCTATCGCGGGTTATTTTTGGAACATAACTCCCGCGATAAACAAGGGACCACTGTATTGACCTTTAATGAAGCCAGTGTGGTCTTAATGTATTATGTATGCATTTAATCTAGATACTGAGACGTGAGAGGGACAATAAAAGGACATATTAGGTTTCCATAGAAGTCAAAGAGTAAACAAATAGTAAACAGTCAGTATGCAGATTTTGTGGAAGCTGTGATGTGTGTTTTGTTTCTGTAATGAGACATAAAAAAATCATTTGAGCATGTTCCATAAATATTCTCCACAAATGCTTATAAGTGGCGAATCTAACATATTTACTGGCAACTTTTTTGCTTTAAATGTGGTGGTAGGACAGAACGAGGCTGTTTACAATATTTATTTTAAACTTTATTTGACATACCCCATTTAAGCAACAGTTCACATCACTACCAAGCAAGAAATAATAAATTTTTCTGATTAAACATTACCACCAAAACTTTTGTCTGTTAATCTTCCATTTTCATTCATCTCATTCACTCTATATTTTTCCCCTGTCTGCTACTCTGCAGTCTGATAACTACAATGCTAAGCTTAAATAATTGTTACCATAAATTTATTTTACTGCACAAACATAACCATGGCAACGATCTTCTCATCAAACTCTGCAAGAGAAGAACCGACATATTCGCAACAGTTTCTCCAAAGAGCAAGGCTATGTTTGCCTGTGTTCCTTTTGCACATCTGTACACACACACACACACACACACACACACACACACACACACACACACACACACACACACACACACACACACACACACACAAAAACACCAACGACCAATTAAATAGCACAGCATTAGAGACATTAGAGCAGGTGAATTAAGAGACTATGGTAAACAACATGTACTAACCTGAACTTGGATTTGGAGATCCTAATTCTGGAACACAGAAAACAGAATGGATTATACATACACACATAACACACATATAGACAGGTGCACATGAAAGGGGTGATTTGAGAGGGATAAAGGGGAATAGCTTCCCTTATTATCACAAATGTCTTGGCATATGTTTCTTGATCAACCTCAAATATTCCCCGATACGCAAGCACAAAAACTGCTGATTCTCTCCACAGGATGATCAAAGAACATATCTGCTTTTAACAAAAAAAAAAACGGCCTGTCCATTTTTATGCACCCACTGGGAACAGATTTTGGGTACAATATAACAAAATGCACTTTGCCGTTATATTTCCTGCTTTTCTCTTGAACAAATCACCCCCAAACACACATACAGTGGCATCCAGTCAAAAGAAAGCAAACTGCGAGTTTGAATTTCCTTCAATCAATCCTGGTGTGAAAAAGAAACGTCATTTATTATTGTAACAAAATGTCTGTTGATTGTTCACCACTGTAACGGGAAAAAGTACAACATGGATAACTGAGGACAAGAGATTATGGAAGACATTTTGAGAGAAGAGTCCCCATGGTGGAAAAATTTTAATCTAAAAAATAAAACTAAAAAAAAAAAAAGAATCACTCAATTTATGACTTTAAATATTTAATTTGATCACAAATCTGTGGGGATGCTGAATGACCACGATTAGTTTAACTATATCCACATTTTTTAAAACTTCTCTTGGATTGTTTTCACTGACTACTCTGATGTTGGTAAAAGCAGATAAATAAACCGACGAGCTCACTGACCGAAGCAATGAAATGTTTTCACTGACTGACTGAACAAAAGACTAAACTGACTGACTGGATATGGGAGCTGACAGGACACACATCTCTTGTCTTCATGTGTCCGTCTTGATTACGAGACCAGTGGGTGCTAAAGTAGCTTGTACTGTGAGGAACAGCTCCATGCCGATGTGAAGAAGAACTGACATACTCTGAAGTCTTTCCTCCGGAATACTGGGAGGAATGCTCCATGTCAAATTTGTTGAAATCTCACAGAGAAAGAATAAGGGGCTATATTTCTAGTCCTGACACGGGTACACTACATATCATTCTCTGGATATGTAAATTTAAATTAAACGTTATGAATGGTAACACCAAGGGCATTACTGATTGCCAAGAAAACAACATAATAAAGCAAATATTATGTCATTTATTTCCTAAATATTCTGACCCGTCTAATCCTCAGCATGTCAGCTAATGCGGTTTGGTTAAAACTGCTGGAGTAGCAGAACTCCTGAGCCTATAAATATAGTTTAAAATATATAAACATAGTCCAAGATTAAAAAAAGAAACCAAATCAGCAAATGAAAGTTCAAGCAAGATATAAATGACTTTAGCTACGGCCACTTACACTATGTGGTCAAAAGTATTTGGCCACACATCTTAATCTCTGAATTAAAAGCACCTAGCCATGCAGGTTGCCTTTAAAACATTTGTGAAAGAATGGTTATTCTAAAGAGATCACTGAATTCAACCATGGTACCATAATAGAAAGCCACTGTTGCAACAAGTGAGCTTGTAAAATTTCTTTCTTTCTAGATATTTCACATTGAACTAAAAGTGGTGTTATTGCAAACTGGGAGAATTTAGAAACTGCAGCCATAAAGCGGCAGACCATGAACGAGTGCGGAGGTGTGTAGTGTGCAAAAGTCACCAACACCCTGCTGACTCAACACTTGCAGAATTCCAAACCTCCTCTGGCATTAAAATCAGTACAGATACTGTACACTTGGAGCTTCATGGCATGGATGTCCATAGCCTGTAGTGCCTGGGATGAGGATGTATTGCAATACATCATCTTTATTACACTGACTGGCAACGTGAGTAGTTGGAAAAACCGTTACGTAGCCAATAATAATATTTAATTTAAAAAAAAAACGTAATCCAGAACTGCATGTCCTCAAAGGTTAGTGGTGACTAAAGTGAGGCAACATAGCCAATCAAATAATTGTCTAATTACTAATTTTAGTAAAGGAAAGAGACATCTGTGTTCTTGAACAAAAGAGCAGAACCTTTTTACTACTTTATGACAACAAAGAAAAAGAAACTGTGAAAAAGAAAAAAAGTAATGTCGTGAAATGTAATAGAAAATTAGTTTACTTACAAAATTAATTTGTAAGTATCAAATTGCTGGTTTCTTATTTATTTGGCATTTCATTATTCCATGTTTCATTTCTAGTTCCAGCTTAAGCCTCACATATAACATATCCTTTTTTTTATTTTATTTTAGCCTGACAGATCACAAATAAACACATACAACATAACAAAGATGAAATAACAGATGGACAGTGAGACTACAGATAAACAACAGCGTGCCATCCACGTGTGCCAACTAGCCTTATCGCTCCTGCGGTTGAGAGTGAATCAGTTTAAATTTAAGATTAAAGTTTCTGTGTAATGCATTTCTGCTCGTGAGCAACAGTTTTTTATGCAGGTGTGTTTGCATGTGTGTACTGAAATAAGTCCGCTGGGGTCGCGGCCCCTGTGCTGTCTTGTGTCTAAGAAAGAAAGCAACACATTTGTTTGAATAATGTAAAAAATGAAAGCAGAGCGCGAAGCGGGAATGAATGAGTCAGCTGTTTGTGAGCTCCCACAGGGGCGGAAGAAAGCACTTCAACAGCTAACACAGAAAAGTGGGTAGAGAGGGAGAGAACGGAAACTCAGAGAGAGATGAAAGAAAAAATAAAGACGGAATACTATTAGATGTAGTTAGGATGTCTTGCTTTTCAAAATTCATTAGCTCCCAAGCAATGATTGGCTTTGTCCTTGTACCATGTGTAGCAGTTGTGTGCACTCACTACCCAACTAGATAAACTTAAAAACTGTGTTCAAATGATAAACCTCTAGTTCGCAAACTGATAGCAATAGCACATTTATAATTGTGATATGAGGAAAACAACCATAAAACGAGATTAAAATCATTTTTTAACTGGAACTGCGATCTAGCAACTAGTTTTTGCTCCCTCAATTTGCTTGCTTAGCAACAGTTTGCCAAAAGAAAGTGGAAAAAAGGGCAGTTGGCACAGCACTACTAATAAACTAGCAAGTTAAAAAAAAAAAAAAAAAAACACTTCCAGGAGCAGCTCTGATTAGTTCCCCTTCAGATCGATCCAATTTTACTCTAACAGAACTTTATCCATGTGGAATATATTGACAGCTTTGTGCTACTGTAGTCTAACAGACTTGTGAGATCAGTAAAGTATATAAGCAATCTGAGGCAATTCTTCCATGCACAATACTGCAGGATGCAATCTGTCCTTAAACCTGACAAAAGATGGGTGAGAAAGCTGAGGAAAAGAAGGAGGAGAAAAGGTGTGTCTGTGAAAGACGGTGAGATACTTACGCCAGCCGGGTACAGCAGGTCTCACCCTCTACGTCTCCCCCGGGGGCGTTGTCTGTGTTGACGGATTCATTCTCGCTGGCTGGCATGCTCACTGAGAGACAGAGATGAGCAGCAGCAGAGAAAGGGGAAAAAAATTGACAGATGTGGAGAGAAACAGAAAGAGAGATGAATTAACCAGAAGGAGAAATGGGTCGGACATCATAATTATGCAACGGAAAACACTGTAGAATTTTACAGGTGCAAGACAACACACTTGAGAGCTACAAAGTGCAACCAGTGTTCAGGTAGCGAGGAGCACTGGACACTTGGTTGGTGTTAAACATTTGATCTTTATCGGAGTTATCTTGCACCAGCATACAAGCTAATTAAAACCACTGTTGAAGTATAGGAATGAAAAAGTCAGCATTATTCAATCCTGCTAATTAAGGCACACGGCTATACACATACCCTAGAGTCAATAAAACCATTCCCAAATTTTGCACTGATTGCCCACACTAATTACACACTAAGTTGCCAGTTAGGAATCCTGGGACACAAACCTTGCAACCTTGTTAGTTTGTGGTGCTAAACCAAAGTAATATAATTCCACAGCTTAATGCCTAAAGCTAAAAAGGTAGCACAGACACAACACTTGAGGAAAAGGTTGACTAATTCTAATTTTGCCAATTGCTGCTGTGGTGAATGAAACTAAGCTGAAGCATTAGCATGCTTATTGACATCGCCACAATTTTTGAAATTAGTCAACCATTTCTGTGCTCGATTTTAACTTTTGGGTATTCAACATTGGGGGTATTTAGAAGGATTTCCATTTTCAAGCTGGGGGATTGCTTTACTTTGAGGGGATTAAAACTTGATAAAATCTATTTGTGATTTCAAGACCCAAAGAGTTGGGGGAAAAAGATGTCTATCTGTAGTCTACAGATGGTGTGTGGGGAGGGGATTGGTCTTTAAAAACAATCAAACTATTAAAAAGAAAAAGTACAGTTTTACTCCTCGCCGCAGTGATAATTTTGCAGATTTGCAAACAGGTGGAAAGCTTTTTCTTTGTTTATATAAATCACAAGTACACTGCAAATGTGGCACTTTGTCCTTAGGCAGGAGTAATATAAATTGGCAGGTAAGGATGGAATAGAAGAAAAAATGAAGGAAAATAGAAAGGCAGGATTGGAGGGCGAAAGTAATGGAGGCACTGAGGGAGGTATGGTTAGCGGGAGAGAGGGGAGAAAAGAATGTGGGGATGGCTGCTGGAGAGATTGATATGAAGTGATACATTGGTTTTTATTGCTTCTGTCAGTCTTTGCCTGCTGGCGGGAATGAGCTGCGTTCCCCTTACTGTCACCTCAAACACTTATTGTAACACCCTCTGGGCACTAGAGCCAGGTACTGCATATGAATATCAATGCCTCTTTTGTTAAAATAAGATATCTTCAGTAAAACCTACTGGTGCAAATGATCTTACAGCATGAAACCAAATAATATGATCAGCACTTAACCACGACCCTCTCAAAAAACCTGCAAACAAACACCAATTTAAAAAAAAAAGATATTAATAATGTTATTCTGACTGGGATTATCTTTTTCATTTACTCATTGGTTCTGGGCCAAAAAGTCCAGTTACATGTATTCCTGCATTTTGTTGGTCTTTTGTGCAGATTTGCTACTGAAACTTGAGAAATCCACCAGGCGAGGTCATGAAGTCATGTTTAGAAAATTACTCCAAAATATGTATGTAAGTATGCATTTCAGCCCAGAGAACTGCTGCTGGATATCTCCTCTTTTTCTAACCATTTTCTGTAAACTCTAGTGATGGTTGTGCAGGAAGATACCAGTAAATCAGCAGGTTTCTGAAATACTCAGACTAACCTGTCCAGCACAGAACAACCACTGCATGTTGAAAGTCACATAAATCCCCATTTTTTTTCCATTCTGATGCTCAGTTTGAACTTTAGCAGGTTGTCTTGATCATGCCCGCATGCTTAAAAGCATTGAGTTGCTGTCTTGTCATTGGCTGATTAGATATGTGTGTACCTATCAGAATGGCCAGTGAGTGTATCTTTCTGAGCCAAAGGAATCTGTTTGCATTATGTGGTTATCCTAAGAGATGGCTTGTAAGCCCAATGATGTGTCAAAGTAAGCTACAGTGAGTGAACAGTGCATTAGGTTACTGTACTTTGACACATGGTTAGGGATGAACGAGTTTAGTGCTGTAGAGATCACGATGGTCTGTCTCAACTTGAATACCTCTGCCATGAACACGCTGTGTGTTTCTTCACCTCGACACGTGCCACCTGCTGCTATGCTACTTAGTTAAAAGCACTCAGGGCCCTCTGGTCTCTCCTGAGGCTAAAAGCCTTTCAAATATAAAAGCAGCCTGGTGCCTTCCCCTCAATGGAGCGCTGAACTAGTTTAATGCCTATTGTTAGAGTAAAACCCCAAAGACCTGAGACACAGAGACAGGGAAGGAGATGAAGAAGGAAAAGGAACATATAGTATTGAAAGGAGGGGCAGAGGAGGGAAGACAGGAAGACAGAAAAGTGATAGAACAGAAAGTGTTGGCATGTGTTGGTGAGCTTGAACATGAACTCACGGCGCTATTTCTGGAAAAAAAGCATCCTCCACAACAATTTGTTTTTATGACAGCGTCTCGTGTTTGTTTTGGTGTTTTTGTCAGCAAACCAAAACAGATTTTATTTCCAGTCACAAAAATGAAAAATATATTTAATTTAAAAATTCACACAAACCCCCCAAAAGACACTGAATTCTACTTTGTATCATTGTCTTAATAATAACAACACAAATCTTTTCATGCAGGCTTTTGGTAATTTGATTTTATAAAAATGTTAAATTTCTCATTTCAAAGCTGTTTCTCCACTGTGTTTCATTATTGCAGCTAGCAAGGCTAATAGTGATGCAGGAGGGGGGCGGGGGGACTTTAGGGAAAGGAATCTGAAAAACCAAGGAGAGGACTCTGACATCACTAACAATAGTAAGAACAGTGTTTTTTATGAGTCGTGTGGTACGAAACCATCACTCCAGTTGTTTTCTGTGATGACATCCTCTTGTTATTTTTTCAGACAAGTCAGGCAGATGCAGATCCTTTCCTACAAAAGTTGTTTCATCTCAGCACAGTAATGTTATTTCTCTCCTTGTATCCCTATTCCCTGGACTTTGAGGTTTTTTTTTTTTTGTTTTTTTTTTTACATTTTGGATGTACTCAAGTAATTTAAAGGGCCATGAAACACTGTAAAGATTTTAATGTAATAAAGACATGCAATTTTGCCAGCAGCAGGGGTAGTTATCAGGGGGAAAATTCCATGTCTCCACTGTCGGAGGATATTCATATATATGGCCCTCATATTTAATCATCATTCAGTGGTTGGTGCATGAAAAAGGGTAAGGAAGAGAATAAACTACTTTACAGTGTTGAGAGGCAGCTGATCCCCACTCTGGAGGCTGCAGAGAAAGATGCTTACTCCACTGGAGGGGGAGTGGATAAAAGGGGGAGGAAGAGAGGCATCGGAAAGTGGGGAGTATAGGTGAGCAGAGAGGTTGCAATCTGCTTGCATGTCTAGAATCCAGTAAAGCTTTAACTAGTGCTGGACCATGCAGACAGACGCACACGCCTTACGAAGGAAAGCCGCATTTTTCTTCACGGCTCCACGCAGGGACAGAAAATGATGGCTCTTACCTGGGGATAGAGAGCACGGCTCAGCAAGACAGACCAATATACACGCACACACACACAAACACTAACATGAAGCGTTCACACAAGTATGCTCATATATACCAAAATACGCACAAAGAACTATGAATTCTTCTGGAAAAATGGCATTCCCTCTTTGCAGTCACACCTCATTTCATTACTGCAGGTACAGAGTACTAACATTACTGGCATTACTGGCACAAAATCACTCATGTCTGTTTCTCTCCTGTACCGCTTAATCTTTTAATCTCCACATGCTGGGTAAAGGTACATATTTGAACCCAAATCACAATCTTTTCTCAAATCTAGCCAGGTAGCGAATGAAAACAAACGTAAAAAGGCAGGTTAAAAAGAGATGGTGACTGAGAACTAAGTGTATTGAAAAATTTCTGTTGTTTCGCTCCGCATAGTGAGATGCCACAGAGTAGTAGCCTGAACATCTTTCTTTTTCGTCACATCCTCCACAAACTCTTTAGGAGTCTGGTGTGTTTCCAGGACAGATGGGATTGTATCACTCTACTATTAAGGAGGCATCCTAACCAGAAGCCCTGCAGATCAAAAATAATTCCAACTGAAAACATTTTAATGTATACATGCCTAATCCTAAACTGGATAGACATCGGAGCACAAGTCAAAGAACAGACACATACATGATCCTAACAGTCAGTGGAATGACTGGACCAGGCATGCATACTGGTCTTGTTTCTCAAGTAGGCTAGAAATTATTTTAACACACACAGGAAGAACAACAAAAGAAGAAGACAGAATGTAAGAACAAGATAGCAATGAAAGCATGCAAGACTGGCACTTCTGCTGTGTGCCTTAAACTACCTGCTTCCATAAAAATCTATCCTCCATTCCATGTGTTCCAAATCAATCCCATATCTTCCAGCTCTCTGTACCTCTTGGCTAGCCCTCCGTTGACCTGGCAGGGTGGTGGGTGACCATTCGGCCAATGCTGTCTGTAGCATTTTGGGTGTGCTGTGGTGGATCGGATTCTCCAGTTTCTGGTTGATTGGGAAGGGTATGATTCCTTCATCCAACAAGTGTTACAGGGTTTGGAAGTTTTGAGTTTTGGCAGTTGAGACTCTTAAGACAAAGACTCTATTGTGGTAAACCCGGGAATTTCTTCTTATACTGTCCAGTGAGGCCAAAAGGGAAAGCCTACCAGTAAATGTAGAGATACTAGTGAGCAGTATTTAACTAAAAGCCATTCCCTGCATGTTTTTGTCAGCCAGTCTTTGTTTTAATCAGGATACACTGTCTCGCTGAGCTATAGTTGACTCTGGAACTAAACAAAGCCTGTTACCAAATCAACTGTTTCCTGCCCAAAGGGCCAGGTTGCAAAGGGGATAGCTGGAGAGATAACCATACCTTCTGTGTATTAGCACCTTTACCACTGTCTATATTGGAAGCAGACAAAAGCAGCATGAACTTCAGAGCAAAATCAACACCTTGATGACTATCAGAGGGCCCCCTGCCCCACAATATACTGAAAGCCAGAGAGTTTGGTTGTCTTCTAGAGACCTCTTAAAATCCACTTCCAAGAAGTTAGGTCCTCTTCCGGGGACACACCAAAAGTGTTTCCAAGCCAACTGAGAGACATAATCTCAGCATGCCTAGCGTGCCCTGGGTCTACCTCTGGGCCTACTCCCATTTGAACATAACTGAAACTGCTCATCTAGAAATCATCCTAGTAGAACTATATCACACCATATCAAATGGCTTCTTTCAATATGAAGTGCCCAATGTATAGCAGCCAGTGTGGCAAAGGACCTCTTCCTGTCTCAAAGGCTGAGACCAGACACCTTTCAGAGAGGTCATTTCTGCCACTTGTATATGCGAGCTCATTCTTTCAGTCACTAAACTGAGCTCATAGGAATGCAGATCTAAATCAACAGCTCTTTCTTTACCACAAAAGAGTGGCACAGCATTTAGATTACTGCGGATGCTCAAATGAATTATATTAATAATGATTTAATCTATTTTGTTTATTTTTAAGTTGATTTCTTAAGTTGTGGTTTACAGCAAAAATCCTTCCTCAAGTGAAATGCATATTTACCATGTCACAGTGTAAGATCTATCACACCATTTTTGCAGTAGCAGCTAAAAGCAAGCAACATTTATAACACTGGCGCCGCTGTAAAATGGACATTAGAGCATCATTCCCACAGCATCAAATGCTGCTGGGTTTTTTTTTTCCAGTGCCAGCACACCTCACAGATAATCAGCTGTCCTTTGGTATCTGTGCTATGGAGCACTGGGTCTGTCACATAATGTTTGCAAAGGACCTCATATCACTACATTTAAACACGCTGGGCAAGTACAACATTTTTCAAGGTGTAGCATTAAATCGCAAATTCCAATCTTTTGTTAAACCTAAACAGGCAGCGAGTGAAAACTAACGTCAAAAGCAGGTTTAAAGGAGAAAAAAGAAGACTGAAAACCAGGAGGCTGTGATCTCCTGGTTAACAAACCTGTGATTTATTTCACCACAACAACTCAAACGTCCTAATGTGGACATCTTTCATCGCTCTGTGTTTATTGTAGGACACATCTTTGCGTATCAATCTCAGACAAGGAGAATCGGACAAAACGGCAGTATTTGACATCCCTGGATGAGACTGCATTGCAAGATAAATTGAAAATTTCTGTTTTATTACTCCACACAGCGGGAAGCCACAGAGCAGTCACATCCTCTACAAATCTTTAGGTGATCGGTGCATTTCCAGGATAGATGCAATATACTGTATCACTGCACCATCAAGAAGGCATCCCAAACAGAAGCCATGTAGACCAAATGTAATTACAACCACTTTTGGTGTACACAGGCCTAATCACAACCGGAATTACATGGAAGCACATGTCAACGCCACAGAGGATACACAAACACCATCCTGACAGTCAGGAGAATGACTGGATCAGACATGCATACTGGTCTTGCTTCTCAGGTGGGCTGGAGACACTCCTAACACAAACAGCAAGGACAACAAAACACGATGACAGCATGCAAGAACAAGATGGTAGACAGCAACAGCACGGAAGACATGCATACAGACTATGCCTTTGAGATGACAGAAAACACACATATTTTACATATATTATACTTGACATCATCAACTTCTCATATTCATAATATTGAATATGATGTTAGTGCAGCCCTGTTGCACTGCAAGCCTAATCTTCTTTGGGAGCCTCATGTTAGAACATCATGAGACAGCAGGGTTGTCCAGCGATGATGCTGATTTAACCTGAATAAGAACAGCAAGACTAGTGAATATCGAGGGAATTCATAGGCAGTCCATGGGGTGTCATGTGACTTCTGCACACCCTGCTCAGGACTATCTACAGCAGTAATGCACGTGAAGCAAACCTCTGCTGCTGCTGTGTGCCACATGTGATAAAAGGCAACTTCGGACAATCCCCTAACCTGATTTTCTAGATATTGTCTGGAGTCCGTGTACACTCTGCAGTCCTTACACTGTCTGAACATCTGCTTTTCCCTTTTCATCTATTCTACTCTCTGAGTCTCCTATCGCTTCTTAGGACACACATTTATGTGAGCTGTGCATGCATGAGCTGATGCAAAATGTCCTGGGCAGCAGGGACAAACTGCCCTCGTTCATCTTCCCACAAGAGGATCCATCCATCGGGGAGAGGGGAGGCAGAGTAATAGACAGAGCAAGTGACTTGATTTTTCACCTTCACAAACAGAGAGCGATGATTGATCCTTCTTATAGAGAACTTTGTATCATATATATTAATCATTTTGTTGAATCATCTACATCTAATGGCCTAATTTATACTGTTTAGAAGATGTCACAGGCTTAATCTTGCAACTAAGTGATCCACAGAGATCGCATGGTAGATTTATTTGAGGAAAATATGTATATGTGTGTATGTTTACTGTATAGCAAACACTTACAGGTTCTGGTTTACAGCCATATTTGGCTTGTTAAGACACTGCAAAATATATCACTGATGCAGAATTTGCAAAACTTAGAGCAAAAAAAAATATCATAATATTTTGATGTGACATTTTTAAAATTGGCCACATACTGTATTTGTTTGTTTGTTAATGGGCCAAAACACTATCTAAGAGACTGCTGATGTGTGTTTGCCAGACTGATTGGCCCAGGGGAGCACAGTGGTAACAGGTGAAAACAACCAGATTTGTTACGGATTAGCCACGGGGGTGTTGTGCCTTATTTTCATGTAAATTGTGTCATTGCTCATTTGACCATGTTAATTTCTTGATATTCCCTGAAAGATTAGATCATCATTAGATTTTCTCTTTCTTTCTTTTTTCCCTTGGCAGTCATCAGTGTTTTCTCAGAATGAACCACAGTGATTTTCAAGAGATGAGCGTGGCTGTGCACAGAATGTAAGCAGAATGCACGCTCTGTCTCTTCGTGGTTAGTCCTCATTATTCATTCATCCACTACCAGTGTGAGCAAGCTTAGCTCCAAGCCTTTATAAAATACTTCACAGTCCATACTGTTTATACTAAGGGTACATGTCCAGGAATACAACAGACATGCATTTTGTCAAATCACTGCCTCTCTTTCTTATTGTCCCTCTTTCAAGGTCTAACTTCTGAGCTCCAACCTCCAGGTTAAAGAGGCCAGTGTCTATTTTCCCTCCCAAGGAAATATAGTGCATTCCTGAGGAGACATGAGCCATGTGTGGCTGCATCTCTCCGGAGGTGTTTGTATAGAGAGACAGGGTGTTAATTTGTGTGTGTAAATTTCTGTCAAAACACAAGTAAACAAATTCCTTAGGGTGTACCTACAGTGCGTGTGTGTGTTCCTATGTTAATTTTGCATAGCTGCAGTAGTGTGTGTTTGTTGTGTGTCACAGTGTGGGCCCAGAGGCTATTAGCTGCAGTCTGACACGTTCCACTAATATCTAAACAGGTTTTAATCCTCAGGATGATTCTCAGCCAAAGCAAGCAGATAATATTAATATCTTCTCGGTCTGTCAGTCACTCTGCCCATACGTCAGTTGTTCATTTAATGACTGTGCCATAACAGTGTGAAGGAAACTACGAAAAGCTCACTACTTATAGACAGAGCAATAAATGTAGTGCAGACACATCCACATCTATCCTGACAAACTTGTGATGCATCTGGGAGGAAATCATTCCAGCTAGCCTTTGCCAAAGTCTTACCATATCCTGACACAGCTAATCCTAACCACCAATCAATAATTCAGTCACACATGCATACAGCATCATCTTCACGGAGAACCATTCTTCCTTCTGTCAAAAAAACGCACACTCACGATTTCTGGGTTTCTCATCGTCCATACCCTCCTCTTCATTCTCTGGGTCAATGTCTTCGGCTTGAGTGATCCAGTCTAAATAGCCCTGTATTCACACACAAACAAGGGAAATACTGATGGGTAAACAGAAAGATCAAACTTCACATCTGTTTGGAATCATAAGAATGAAATGTTTTAGAATATGTATCATGTGTCTCAAACTTCGTGTGCCCTATTTTTTTTTACACTTTTCCATGAGGTAAGAGGAGTGCTTGTGTTGTTTTGTAACTTAGGTAACTTCTAAGTAAAGTTTGCTCTGCTTTCCCTGCTCACTGTTACTGAAGGGTTACAGGTTACTGAACACTGACAGTACAATGAACCTAAGTCTTTGGTAAAGACTCTAACAGCTTTTCTGGCATGGGGACAACCGCATGCACACATGCACACACACACCAAACTACCTTGAGGTCTTCCTCCAGTTGCTGTTTTTCTCTGAGTTTCTGGAAGTCACCGCGCGCCTTGGCCTTCTCTCTCTCCTTGGAAAACTCTCTGGGAGGAGGGGAGCAGAAGAGAAGGAGCGGGGCAGAGAGTTGACGGGAAAGAGAGAGCAAACAGAGAGAGAGACAGGAAAGAGAATCTGAAAATCTTGGCTAAGGTTTTGGCAAAATCATGTGACAAAAGTGATCAAGTTAAAAGAAAAGGATACTTCGGAAAGAAGAAGAGGGAAAACCCTGCCAGAGAGAAGAAAAGTTAAGTAACGAAAGAAAAGTTTTGCCACGGAGAAACGGTGTTAGTATGCAAATGCAGCTTTTGGTTTCCTAGAATATAGATCTTTATACCTTATTAATAATTATTTACATATCAACCACTCAAATAATGAAATACCATTCAAGCCAGCTGGGGTTCCATGAAAGATGATGAGGACTGATTCCATGTGATTCACATAGACAAAAGGAAGAACCAAACAAAAGAGTGAAAGGAATTGATGCAGCAGGAACCCTATTCATTTAGGCTGTTGCACTGTTGATGAATTGTACCACCTTTTCTCAGCAGGGAACAGGTGATGATTTCTGGCTGATGCATGCTCAGCTAATATGATAAAAAGCTACAGTGAAAAGTCTGCCGATTGTAAAAACTTACTAAATATTAAAGTTCAAGACTTCATTTATCTGTACTGGACTCCCAGCTGGATCCAGGCCAGCTGGGAAATGGGATTCCTGTGGTGTTTTCTGGGTCTACCCCAGGTTGCAATGTGCTTGGTACAACCCCGGAGGGAGGCACAAAGAGGGCGCCCTCACCAGCTGCACAGCCTCAGCTGTTGTCAAATAGTTGGAGAGGTGGCTCTGCACTAAAGTCATCCTGCATCACTGAGCTCCGAACCTTTTGCCCGCCAACTCATTCTTTCAGTTACTACTCAGAGACATTGATTACAGAAAAAAGTTATAGGTTTGCACCTCACCTGGATTTTGGAGTTTTTGTGCACAAAGAACACGTGCAGAAAAAACAATTTAAGACAATTAAAACCAACGTGACCAGCGAGTGTGAAATATCATATCATTATGATGAAATTCAGTGAAATTGCTTCCAGGTGACAGGAGGGAAGAAAGAACTGAGGAACACTTGATTAAACGGTGCACTCGGGGAAGGTCAAAGACAGGTTAGAACCAAAGATCCAGTCTGAACAAAGGAAATTTATTCAGATGAGGGCTGACAGGACTTGGGAGACTTGGGAATTTTTGCAGTTAAAACGTGAACAAATTCATATTTAAAGGCCTGCTGGAAAATAAACACAGCAAATGCCTCCTTGTCATGAATATTTTACATAGAAGTAAACTTCCCTACGTTCGTTTTGAACATACAAGTGGGACTCTTTTTGAAGCTCAGGTTTAAGCGTTATCTCAATACTCCTAATCAGATTTCAAGCAATTAGCACAAAGGTTTTAAGAGAGGTTGTGTAGGCTGTTAGTGTTTCACTGCTCTCCAGAGATCAAGAACTGATGAAACTCTTGGTATTGTTATTGACTTTTTTTTGGTCATGTCTATTGGCTGGGCAGAATTCAAGTGTTTGAGGATATCTGTGTGAAATTTAGGGGAATGATGGAACCTCAGATTGAACTCAAACCCACAACAGCAGATCAATGAGCATTAGGACAAACATCTATTGTCCCACTTGTCAGAACATTAGCAGGAGATCCAATCCTATTGATCTGGGCTTGTGCAGTTCAGTGCGCATATCCTGTATGTGTGTGTGCGAGTGTGGCCTTGAGTGCTAAAACCTTAGGCTCCACGCTCATTTTCCAATTCTCCACTGTCTCACCTTTCTGTCCTCAGTCATCTTTTAATTCTCCTTTCTCTACCTACTCATTCTCTTTCGGTCGAGCCACTTTCTCCATCCTCTCTGTTTACGTATTACATCAAATCCAGACAAACACAGTCACACCCTATGCCTATGTCTCTACATCCGTCACTCTCCTTCTTCCTGTTTAGCCATTAGTTATTATGCCAATCTGAGACCTACACACACCATGGAGTAACCAGTTGGTAAAAGGTCAGGCTGTGTAGTGAGCTGACAGCATCATTAGTCACAAGTCAGACAAAGAGTCGGACTACCAAACCCCCCAAGCTGTTTGGTACAGATAGACCTCTATTATTTTCCCTACAATGCTGCTGCCACCTCTCCTGAGGGTATCAAGTCAGATTCAGGTCAGTCAGTCAGTCAGGGGTGAGACATCTGACTCTAAAACCTGTTCCCTGGCAGAGCTGATTTTGGAACTGAGAAGTTTAAGATGTTTTTAGGTGGCAATTGATATACTTCTGTTACTGCTGAATTTAGATACATTTTCTTGCATGTTTTTGTGTATTAACTGCTGGTCTATAAACAGCTTTAATCACAACAGTTCTTAGTTTACATATTAATTCTTAAAAAAAACCCCAAAATGAAATGGTAGTTTTTCCACCCTGCATCAGTGCTGAAAACAGAGCACTTCACTTCACAATAGCACTAGTGCTATTTTACAGAAACAGCAGTGGAGCCTTGTAGTAAGAGAAACAATACCCAGAAGGTTTCAGTGGTCTTCGAGCCAGATGCTCGAGTATGATTTCACTACAGTCAGCTACAGTGATAAAAAAAAAAAAAAATCTATGTGCAGTCAGCAATGCTCAGTTGGAAGAGTCACAAAGCCTCAGATACATGGTCTTGTAAAGCAACCAAATGGGACTATATAGAAACACAATCTTGTACATGCTTTGTACTCATTAAATATAAACGCCAGCAGCAGCAAGAGGCAGGAAGGAGAAGGAAGTAAAGAGATCCCTTGAGCAAAAGACCAGAAGCAAAATTCTCCAAGAGCAGCAAAAAGACAAGAAAGAAAAATTAGTGTCAAACGACCTTTGACCCTGCCCTTACCCGCTTAATACCCCCAGAACCAAGTTTAGCACAAAGAAGGATCCGATGATGATTAAGGTGACAAAATAGACCCAGGGCCACGTGTAACCTACAGCATCATTCACCTAGGAGGCATCAGGATAGGGGGCAAAGGGAGGAGATAGAAGGATGGAAGATGGGAAGTAGATGGATGGTAAAAGAGTAAAAAGTAAGACAAGAAGACAGGGGATTGAAGGAAAAGGCAGGGAGTGGTAGGATGATGGGGATGGGAGAAAGGAGAAGGGGGGATAAGGGAATGAATTAGATCCTTGGTGAAAGTTCCCAACAGATGGAACCGTTTACCTCTGCTTGTTCCTTGCTGGGATTATGGTGCATTGATATTATTTGTTAGTCACTTAGCGTGCCACATGGCAAAGTATTTGGGCAATATGAATGTGAGAAATGATAAAGAGATGCCTTGGTGGATTCAGCGGGTCTTTTAAAACAGTGAAACCTACAGCAGGCTGCGAGTCTCATGGGACAAACAAAATAAATGAATTAATGTATTCCTGCAAGAAAAAAGTCAGAAGTTTAATAATCACATAGGTGATTCTACTTCCACTGTAATTCTTCTTTTTCATCCTTCATCACTGGAGAAATAAGAGTGTAGTTAGACAAATGAAGAGACTGTGCACCAAGACTCCCATGGACTGGAAATAGACATCAAGTCAAAACCATTCTCTGCCGATTTATTGACAATTATTTTTTAACATTATCATCATTATTATTACCATCATGTGTGATCTGCAAACAATGTTTTTTACGGATGCTTAAAAAAATGCTTTTCACTACTCAGTGCAGCCTGCTGTTCCATAATTTCCATATTTAATGCCACATTTCCTCCAGACTCCACTCTGTCCTTATTGTGTTTTACCTGTTGTGCAAGTTTTTTTAGCATTCCACCTCCATGGCTGACTTGAGGGGTGAATTATTTATACCCTAGTGTGTCCCTGCAGACCGTGAGGCGCTTGTACTGAAACAGTGTGACTTGGCAGAGTGGGGTAAAACAGCACCCAGCGAGCCTGCTCGAGCAGTATTTGTTGAAACAAAACACACAGCGCAGCACATGCCTTTAAACAAATATAAACACTCTGTGTGTGCGCGCACAAATGTAAAAAAAAAAAAAAAGAAAGATAAATGCTAACTTGCAAGAGACAAACGTGCATGTAAGCTAAAAAACATGTAGGAACACAGCAGTGTTCATTTTAAGTTGAAATGTGTTACGTTTTGGAAATGTGTAAATATTTGTGTGTATGTGTCTACCTGTCCAGCACAGACAGGTGGGCAAACTGACATGAACACGACAGCTAGACGTGGGGTCACTCGCAGCTTTTTCTGAGTGCTTTTGTGTATTTCTTTCAGGCCTGTGCCAAAGGATTGATTGAGTGAAAGAGAAAGGGAAGAGAGCGAATGATTTTGCTCAGTTCAGTGATCATCATTTTATCTTTCCTCAACAACAGAGGACTACGGTTGTCTAGCTCTGCTTTTTCTGGTGGAATGATGAGGTGAGACTGCTGTCAGCACACGGCTCTTATTTGCATCTAATTTATTATTTTACTGGGTCTGTGTGTATGTATGTGTTAAAACATTAATGACAACAAAAAGAGAAATAATAAGAAAAAACTTGCACTTTAGATTGCATTACGGGAGTCTTGTAACATCGTCATTTATCACATTTAAAATAGTAAATAAAGCCACACAGCACACCTACTGCACATACACAAGTGACAACAGCATAACCTCTTACCCGCTCAACACTCCCAGAACGAGATTGAGAACGAAAAAAGAGCCGAAGATGACAAGAGAGACAAAATAGACCCATGGCAGCTCATAGCCCATGGCATCCTGCATCTGAGAGAGAGAAAAGGCAAAGAGGAGCGAAGAAGAAAGAAAAGGAGAAAGAAGAGGAAGGAGAAAAAGGGGGAGTAGCACAGATGTGGAATCAACAGGTGGGTGAGAAAAGTAGGGAAAGAACAGGAAACATGACAGAAAAGGTTTTGTGAAGGTTGACAGAGAGAAGATGAAGTCACGGATGAGTCAGGGCGGTAGAGGTCAAGGACAGGAAAGTGTGTTAGAGAGAGAGAGGTTAAAAGGAGATAAAAGCAGGAAAAAAGAAAAGGAGCGGTGCATGTTAAAAGAGCAGCAGATAGCAGAATGGCATAATTGTATGATTAAAACTGACTATAAGCCTTTTATCCTTTGCTTGGAGAGCATGCAGGCCACGATCCACAATTAAGAACACTTTTGTAATTTAATGGCAAACCCTGGCTGCAATTTAAAAAATCTCTTTAAACAGTTCCACAGTAACTTAAGTAATTTCATCTTAGATTGGTGAATGGATCTAGAAACAAAGATATAACAGTATCAAGAGAGATTAATGTGGAAATTGTTGTGATGAATAAATGGGGTGGATATATGTAGCAATCGATGCTGACAAAGTAAGCAGTTTAGCATCCAGGATTTTACTTCAAAACAAAAGTCCCATTATTAGACTATTAGATTACTGATTAGATTGAGGTTGTAAATGCAAAGGTTAGGTTAGCAGATAATAATATGATAAGGCTCTTAATTAAAGAATTTAACACAAAGACTGGGGGACAGAGATAAAAAGGGGAGATGATAAAGGAGAAGGCTGACAGCAGGTTTATGTGCTGTGACAGCAGCAAATGTTGCATGTTGATATTTTGTAGTGAAAGTGACGCTGACAATTATGTGAAATTACAACACAAACAAAATATTGTCAAAGGGCTGGTGCTTCAATCATTCGACTATTTAACATTTTACAGCACGTCAAATTTGTTATAGGCGTGCTGTGTGTAAATATAAACAGGAAACTGCAGTAGATAAGCAGAAATAGCAGAACGGATGTAGAGCTAGTAACTCAACCAACAAGCACATACTGGATGCACATTTTTACGTGATATCCCTACAGTGGCTCTTAAGAAAACATCAGGAAACAGAAAAAACACATAAACCACAGTGAAAGTTTAATAAAACACAATGGAAATAGAAAAAATTAAGCAAAAGTGAAAACAAAAAACAGAATACTTTTGGGGACACTATAAGGTGACGGAACAGCTGCGGAAGTGCCAAGCTAACAGTAAATAGCTAATAGCAAGAATGTATTTACGTTATTATATGAATCATGTGATTAAAACAAAAATTACCTTCCATCTTTTTAAGCCTCACAACACCGATGAACCCTCTGGTTATTTTAAGCGTGTCTTAATGCTTGGCATGCGTTGGTTTCCGTCATTTCTGCAGCTGGTTCGTCACGGTATTGTGTCCCCAGAAACACTTCTGTTGTGTTTTGTAGAATTTTCTTGTTTTTTTCTGCTTCTACTGTGTTTTAGTCAACTTCTTTTTTGTTTTAATCAATTTCAGCTGTGTTTTTTTTTATTTCCACGGTGTGTTGTTCAGCTTCTGTTTTTTTGCAGTGTTCTTCTAGTTGCTGTTATTTTCTTAAGCAACAGTCCATTTGACCTCTCAGTGCCATGTAGATCTCAAACACAAGAGAAATTTATTTTGCTACTTTTTGTAACTAATTTATAACCATTTTATAAAATGTCAAGCCAGAAAGCTAATGCATTTACTTCCCTACAAGATAAAACTTTCAAAAATGCAATTGCAACAAAGCACTTAAAGCTGTTCTAAAGGTTTGTCCAGCATCTTGAAAGCCCTTTTGTTCTAATTTACCAAGCTCTATTTGATTTGATTAGCAGGGAAACTTGTCCCTGCGGAAATATTTAGTTGTCTGTGGCCCCATGTTTGCTCACTTGACACTGAAATCAAGCGTAGGGATTCTACACACGTTCTAAATGAATCTGCAGCTTCAATTACACAGTGTATTGTCTGCATTAACCTGAGATAGAAGCTAACTCTGTGTGTGTATTTGTTCAGTCTTTGTATATGTACCCACCTTTCTAAAACAAGTGTTTTTGTTATTGTGTTATACTCCTTTCTCAAAAGCACTCATCTGGCACTGATGTTACAGATACAGTAAAGAGGCTCCACGCACTAATCCCTCTGGTACTCAGTAAGCCACACAAACACAAAAACACTGCTTTGGTGTCCGACTCACCCAGTACAGCACATCCGTCCAGCCTTCCATGGTTATACACTGGAACACCGTTAACATGGCAAAGGCAAAGTTGTCGAAGTTTGTGATGCCGTCGTTTGGGCCCTCCCACCCAACTCTGCACTGTGTTCCATTCTGCTTGCAATGTCGACCATAAGCTCCATCAGGTGCACATGGTGCTGGCTTTTCCTCTGCAATAGTGCCTGTGACAAAAGAGAAAAAAGTGGCAATGGCCATTTTTTTTAATTTTTCAGATATCTTACAAATAATGTCTTTTTTGTTGCTTTAATGATGCACTGTTGAGGAGGGTCAGAGGTGGAAAATTAGACTGAATTACACACAAAGATCATTTTCTGTTGTACGAGGGAAAAAACAGCTCAACAAGACAGCTATAATTTATTTAGAAACCACAGATGTAGTGAGTTAAACTTCATAGAAAAAGCCATTTTTAGCTTTTACCCATCATGATTTTTAATGTAGAAATCAAGCCAACTTAAAAGTAGCAAAAACCACAGATCCTCGAAAGCCTGCTTGAGGCATGCTCCAAAAGGAGGTCACTTGTCAAGGATTCACATGTTACGATAACCAAATTTATAACAGAAATAAACATGTTTAGAAGCTGGTATAAAAACATTTTGTGCTCTGTAGCTTAAGTCTGCTTTGATGCCAACTGTAAATTTTCACATAACCCACTGTTTTAAGTGTATTTTGCATTGGTAGCACGTGCAAGTTTCACTTCCAATAACTCTGTAACTTTTTAAGATTTTGTCATATTAAAACATACTGCAAACTATAAGTTGCTCACTTTTTTTCGATTGTGTTTTGTTTTAAGCCTGTTTTTCACTCGTCAAAGTTAGCATCTCATGTAGCAATGCAGTGACTTTACACAGGCCTAGAAAGCAGTTGGCAATTGTCTGCTAACCACTGGCTGCTAGGATTATTCCTTACTGGTTGCAAGAGGTTGCTGGCTTACGCTGTGAAATCAGTTGCTAAGCTCCAGTCATACATGTCTAGAGACCTGTCAGCTACCCCCTGTAATCAGCGATTGCCAGGGAAAAGTTGCTTACAATAGCTAATTGCAAAGAGGTTGCAAACAAACTGCCTTGTGAATGCCACTAACTGTGAAGACATGAAATATACTGAAATATGTTGATTTCTGTGGCAAAGCACCACTTACTTTGAAGGTGAACTGTCTCTGCTTCCAGTTTGTGTCATACTTTTTCCAGTTAGTTAGCATGTTTGCTGACAAATTGGAGCCTTCCATGCAAACTATGGGTGACAGCATCAATCTGCTAGCAACCAAAGCAATTGCAAAGAAGCTTTTGGTATGGCACCTGTTTGCAACAGAGTTCACCCTATTTGCCAGCACTAGCAATAGCAGAAGCTCCAAGCTTCAAAACTCTAGTCAATGTTTCATTTCAATGGAATATCCATGTACTGTACTATTTATGATATATAGTGGCGACTGGATCCTTGTTATCAAAATTCTCCTTGAGACCATGACTCCTTATGCTTTTGTTTACACAGACTTGCACTTTTTTTATCGAGCATACTTTTCGAACTCAGCTGCTTGTCTTTTGAACTGCAGATCCCAGCAGGAGAGATTTACGCCCATCCAAGCAGTGCTCACTGAACATTTTGATTTTTTGCTACGGGAAGCTCTGTTACAGATTCAATCCATTCACATAAAAAAAGAGGTTGAAAGGCTAAAAGGACACCATGAAATAACACCAAACAAAGGCACCATGAAAAAAAATCAATGTGGAAAAAGTGTTTTACTAATTATACAAAACAAGCTCTTCAGGGTGATGTATAGGATAGCAGAGTATTCCACTGGCACTTACCCTGTGGAAAGCTAATGCCTCTCAGGGGATGTATAACACCATCATAATAACACTCCAGTCCATTATACCTGAGGCCCTTTGCTGAAAATTGTTTCAATCATTTATGGTAGCTGTTGTTTCAATTATTGCTGAAATTGTTCCTGCTCAGAAACATAAATGATGGTTTGAATAATTAATTGATGTGATCATTTAACTGTTTAAGGTTTGTTTGCTGATAAAGTTTTACTGTAGAGTTCGAATTTATGCAAAGCTCAGTCAAACCAAAGACCTTGAACACCAAAGTTTGCACTTTGTATGTATGTGAATAAATGCTAACTGAAGCATGGCTGCACATACACTTCAATACATGCTTTGATCATGTATCTAAGCAACTGAAGTGTTGTGTGCCATTGGCTGTGTTTGATCGTGCATGTTTTTATTTATATCTGTGCATCAGTGCTTATAAATAGGTATTCTACGAGTGAGTGTTTGTGTGTACCTGTTAGGTTATGAACGCAGGTCTTGTGCATCTTGCCCATGAAGAGCTCCAGACCGATGATGGCATAGATGATGATGACGAAGAGGACCAGCAGGGCGATATGGAGCAGAGGAACCATGGCTTTGATTATGGAGTTCAACACTACCTGTAAACCTGCAGGAGGCACACATTTGCTAAGAATCCAAAAAGGCATATGAGAGTGTACAGAACATTTTAAAAAAGCATACAGTTCTTATAAAATCTGAGGATTGGAGACTTACTGTCATTAAAAATCATTACTGCCACCTCATATACCAGCATTGTCATAATGAATCACCATGCAAGCACTTAAGCTGGCTGTTATATTTCATCTGAAGCTTTAATATTGCTTTTGTACAGATATTCTACTGAAAAGTATGACTTCTATTAATTGTAGGCAAAGAAAAAAACATGGTATTTTTAAATGCAAATTTGTCTATGAGCAGAACACCTTTCCAGTTAAATTTAATACATGCTTTAATGAACAAAAGCTCAGTGCTCTGCATATTAATAACTTAAAACAAGAGGAGCAAAAATATGTTGCTGCTGAAGAGACGTAACAATACAAAAGGCAGTAGGAGAAATTGTGGGTTTATTTAACTGACTAATTTGTTAAAACAAACTAAATTAAAAACAAAAAAGCTCACAGGCTTGCGCATATAGGCGAGACCAGTTTATCAGATTACACTCGTATTAATTTAATCAGTTACTCTTTTGAACTTTTTAAAACGCAACTGCAAAATTAGTGTGGTGTCATGGAGTGAGGAACACTTAGATAGTTGCTGGAACAGCAGTTTTTCCACTTTTCAGTCGTGAATAACTGGCATGGCTAAGACGTCTTGATTGTACAACCTCATGTTTTTCTTCCTTTAATGATCAGCCTTTAATAAAAATATAATAAATTCCACAGCACATAAGCAACTGGACGCCATCTGTGCGCAAGTCAGCTGGCAAACACGCTGTTGATCAGTTGCCACGACTGCCATGACAGCCCAGTGATGTTGGACAGCGCACAACGGCACTCAGCACTTTTACACCAAATGACAAAGTGATAGCTGTGCACTTGCATCCTCTGCATTTGTCTGCAAGTGTAATGCACATAAAGGTGGAAACACACTATTTTCATTAAGAGTGTCTTCACAGACAAGTACGCACATAAATCGTCCAGTTCTGAAAGCCTCTGCATTTCTGACAAGAAGAAGACTGGGTGTGAGTATATGTGTGTCATCATGTGTGGCGTCAAGCACCAATGCAAGCTTCAATCTCTGGTCCATTCCACCCCCCACAACACCCAATCACCATTCACACCTGATCCCCAGAGCACCATTTGTGCTCCTGCTTTTCTCTCTTTCATTCTTCTTTTTTACTTCCATAGCTCTCAGTACTTACTCGGTACTCCAGAGACCAGTCTGAGGGGTCTGAGTACTCTGAATGCCCTCAGAGCCTTGACATCAAAGCCCGCCGCTTTCCCTCCAATAGGAGTAGCCCCATCCCCTTTTGTGGCCTGCTCCAAGATTGCACTGAATAACCTGTAAGACAGAAGGTAATGACTTCAATAACCATCAGTTTCACATTGACATCCCATTTCCACATACTAGAGAATCTATGAGAGAAAGAAAACAATAAAAGAGATACAGCTGTAAAGGCCCCACCACAGTTGGTGTCATTATGGCCATGTGTTTTACATCTTTGTTTGCCACTTTAGACATTGTCAGTAGTGTTGCACAATATCAGGTTTCAGTTGAAATAAAACTTTTTAAACACTTTTTTCATTAATTCTATACTAAATGAATCACCAGTGGAAACATTGCAGTATAAGTGAAATGTGCTTACAGCAGCCAAATTTGGGAACATATTTTTAGAAGGTAAAGGCCTGGTGAAGTCAACAGTGTCGTTTCACAATTTGACTCTTGAAGAAACTCGAAAGCAAAAAATAAAACAGCTTAGCAAGTTATCCTTCCAAGAAAACAATCGAAAATGTTTCATCTGTTCCTTCTGTCTTTCGCAGATAAGGAAATGTGAGGCATGTGGCTTTAATGATTTGACAGTCAGCTCCACAGATGCCTGTGCATGACTGTAGTGAAGAGAGCTGCACAGTCAGGTTATGTGGTACTATGCAGAAAAACTCTCTTTTAAAATGTCAAATGTATTTTTACACTGTTGCCCTTTTTAGTTATTACCCTCCATGAAAACAGAAACATCCAGCCAAGAAAGATTTAAGCAAGAACTGCTCATGAGTTTAAATTAATGGACTTTGACCAAAATGTGTGAACATTTTACTTTGGTGAAATTCAGGCCTGGGACTGATTTATTATAGTTTGGGTTACTGACTTTTAGTCAGAGTGACCAGTAATTACCAACCTTGGGACTGAAAGGACATCATTACAGAAAAGGGCCAAAACAGCTAAACAGGTGCACTCTGAGGATGGCCTTGATTTTGGATTTGAAGGGTCACAAGCCAATAAGGTTGGGCAGCACTGTTTTACTGTAGAGCAGTAAAAGTTTGTGGTAAATGTAAAGCGAAATGTCGTATAACAGTGCCCATGAGTGCAAACCGAGGTCGGTGAAGTCATAATTTCTCACATTGGTCTGCAAGAACTTGGGATGAAATACAACACCGATCCCATCAGGCAGGGTGTGGTGGAAAGCAGAGGCCAGTGCCCAGAAATGTCTTGAATGACATGATCAGCAATCACACTGTACTCTTCAGGCTTCCATACATATTTATCAGTGTAAAGCAGAAGTATAATCTTCAATGAAGAGCTAAATATGCTCATTTTAACGCTCCCCCCTTTTGTTAACTGATATCCCAATGAAATTATTGACATACATCCCTTTGGTGTAAGTGACTCACAAGCTTGAATTTATGTACGTCCAGCTGAGCTTATCGCTCTCCCCTTCCTGTCTCTGGCTCTCCGAGATCCTTTAGAAATCACCATACAATACCATTTTCCAGCTAGCGTGGCTCAAAGGCCAGTCAGTGGCACGTTAGTCAGGGAGAATTATCAATTAGCACAGATGAAATGGCCACTTGAAAAGGCCTCTCAAAACATATCTCCCTCTCTCCCTCTCACACTCTCTCTGCCTCTCTATTTCACACTACCTCCCTCTCAATTTGATTAACTCTCTTTTCCTCTCTCTCCCCCTCTCTCTTGGTGGGAAGCACTCCTTTGAAACTGAGCACGAACAGTACGTCAGAGATTCACAATTTTGCACCACCAGCATGTTCTTTTGTTGTAGGGTGTTTAAAGGTAATTAGAGCCTTGGAGTGTAGCACCACATTGTGAGCTGTATAGATCCACAGCTAAAGATAGTACCAACCGCACGCATTCAGAAAGAGAAAAAAGGCTGAGAGGTCTCACAGAAGTCAAAATGTCAACATTTGGGTGTTTGTGTCGCTTGAGAAAAAAATATTTACACTTAATTATTACAGTTTTAAAAGCTTGAGCATGTTTAAATAGTGATTCTTGAAGCATGTAAATAACACTTGTAGCAAAGTGTGATAAAGTAAAAGCAGAGTCTCTGCTTCACATTTAGATGGCACTACAGTCCTTGATGCACTGACTCACAACTTTGAACTGATCATGTGTTATGCTGCAAATACACATACTTTACACCTTTAGATACCTTTGTTTGTTTGTTTGCTATCCTGCGAACAGAGAAAAATTGACTGACACATATTTGCGGATTTAAATAGTCTGTATATATCTACAGGTATTTATTTGTTCTTTCCTTTCTAAGTGAATTGAATTAATTTTATTTTTGTGTAGTTATCTGTGTGATTGTTTGGGCCTTGGCCAACTTTGCTCGGATCAGCTGGTTGTTGCGTTTGTGGTGTTCTAAACACGTGATATATTGAAGGATGTTTCTACTATATCTCCTTTTACATTTTTTATTTATTGGCATAAATTGTCATAAATGCTGATATCGACAGTTAATATCTACTGATAATATCAGCCCACTGATAAGCCTAATTTAGCTCATTTTGGTGTACGAGGTATGTGGAGTTGCTATCTAGTATTACTATCCTTCAAAGGCTCTGATTAATAGTCAAGTCTCTAGAACAGTGATTCCCACAGTGCAGATCAATGACTGTATAAAATCTTTTACACAGTCATTGTGCAGGAAGGAAACCCCTTGTGGGCTGTAATGGTACTGCAGGTGAGCTTCAGTAATAACAGAAGTATTTATATTTATATAAAGGTATGTATTTAGATAAAAAGTGGATCAAATCGGGTAATAAGAGATGGTAATGATATTGATCATTACCCTGATCTAAATTTAATGCTTTTATATTGAAGGTTTCCTCGAGTTTGGCCAGCCTAAGATACCACAGTTTATTCTTAGTGTATAAATTATTTACTTTTTTTCTTTTTCTTTTTTTTTTTTTACAAAAAGCTACGACTGACTCATGAAATATTATACCAAACCACAATACATTATATTATCTCTTATAAAAGCAAACATAGTCTATAAAACTCTTCGAACAAACTGTCACAAACTCTGCGCTTATAATATAAATGAATTGTTTTATAAATTGTTTTGTATGCGTGAAAGGAAAAGTTCTTTCCCAGCACGTTTTGTCATTCATCTTCAGTATCCAAAGGTGTATGGTACTCCTGTGTAATCTGAACATATATCTGTGTAAATACACACAAGTTTGCTTCACAATAATTTCTAACATTCTCCAAACAAGAAAAGTTCAATAGAGGAAACAAATTCTTTTTTGCGGGTCAGGCCATGAAAGTTTACTCACATCACATTCACTGTCGTCTTTAACTCGACAGCATGGAAAGTATTGCCTGTAGTGCCGAATCTGAGTGAAGTATAGTGAGTTTTTCCACAGGCTTTTTTTCCCTGTTTTTTTCCCCTCTTTTTGTTACAGTGTAAAGCAAAATATTCATTCAGCTTGTATTAATTCTGCCCAAATTTTACATCCTGGAGTACAGTAAGTGTCACGTGGTAGTTTTCTGACCCTGTAAATGCTGAACAAATGAAATAGATAATTTTTTTTTGCCTGAATCCTTCACTCTGTATTTTGTATTGATTACACCCTGAATACAAGGAGGGAAAGTAAAATGAAAGAAACATAAAATTGCATGGGGAAGGAGATGGACCTAATATATCTGAGGAAAAACAAAAGTGGAAAAAGTGATGACAAAGAGTGAAAGAGAGAAGTCAAAAATGAAGAAGCAAGGTATGTATGAATGCAGAGACCAAGGTTCTTAACATTTATTTTCCAATCTGATCTTTAAGTTACTAAAATTGAACATGGGTCTTTTTTTTTTTAATTGTTAATGATTATTAAAAATGTGGATGGGGTATGGGGTACACATTTTTTTCTGTGTGACAGAAAAAGTTTGAAAACTGCTGAACTTGAGTCTCATTCATATTCATATTGCGCATGCACACATGAACACAGCCTGTTGAATTACTGAGCCTTAACTAATGACCTCTCAGGTAAGTGCCAGCCAAGTGTGGACCGTAGTATCTATGTGTGTGTGTGTGTGTGTGTGTGTGTGTGTGTGTGTGTGTGTGTGTGTCTGAGGTTGCTCAACACCAGGTACAAGCTCTTTCACCCATATGGTGAATAATCCAGAGGGAGTGAACTCTTGTCACTTCTCATCTATACACAGACACACAGACAGACTGGCAGTTAGATTCGCAAGGGCACAGAGACAAACAGCCACTTATGCACATAGCCACACAAACACCCAGCCACACACACTCCCTGCAGCTTGTGAAACAGAAGAATTTTGTGTTTGTTAGCTTTTCACATCTATTCTAGTGGATTTTATTTGGTTTCCAATTCAGTTAAATGTCAAGTTAAAACTGAGTTTGCATATTAGTGGAGTGCTTTCTAATGTGTTAGCTCTTTAGCAAAGAAGTGGTTAGGATTAGGCAACATAAGCTGTTTGGGGGATATTAGGAAAGAATTATGATCATGTTCACCTTCACGACTGATTTACATAGCAGCAAAAAAGGAGCATACATGACCTTTGCACTGAATTCTGACTACCTCAAGTTAAAAACTAAAAATTTTGAAGTTATTCAGTATTCTCAGATCTAAATCTGAATTTGGGTGGGGGGGATATCTGAATTTGGAGACTGAAGAAAGAATTCAGACTTTAATCATCCAAGCTAATAAAATACACTAATCAAAAGTCAATAAGCTGTTTGGCATTGGCATAGGAGATTTGGTGTTCCCTCTGGGTGCAACCCTCATTCTCAACTCTACTGCTCATCTCTGCTGCTCAACTCTTAAATATGTTTACAAATGTGTCAAAGAAGAAGCAAAGTTACGACAAAGAAATAAACACAAATTTCCTTACATTTTGTGCCAAGTTTATATATATGTTCAGTGGGCCTAACCCTCTAGTATACATATTTTCTGAGCCTTTTGAGGCATCCATATCCAGTCCCCTATAACATTAATCATTAAATAGACTGATGTGTCATTCTGCATGACTCCAAATAGAGTCATGCAGTCAAACAGACGTGTATTTCGCCTTCTGAACTTCCTTTGGCAAGGTTGTAAGAGAAACAAAAATATTTGCAGGCATCAGTGCATTATAGTTGTAAATTAAATCATGTTACATTACAATAAAAGGCACAATTCACATCGAGAAAGAGACATGAACAGAGGGAGACAGACAGTGAGGGTAGATAACAGCTTAAGAGTGGCAAAGGTTGTGTTTATGCCATGGGCACTGGCACCATGTTTTCAGCCGATGGGATGTATGTGTGTGTGTGTGTGGTTGGTGTGTGTGTGTGTGTGTGTGGTTATAGGCTCAAGCCAAGCGTGTTCAGTTAGTGATGGCTAATATGAGTGAACACTTGACTTGCAATGAACAAGACTCACTGAATGTGCATGTCTGTGTGTTGGTGTATTTACAAAGGCTTCCTCCAGGCTGAGGGTGCTTTCGTGCACACACACACACACACACACACACACACACACACACACACACACACACACACACACACACACACACACACACACACACGCTCAATTAGACCATCTTTATGGCATAAATGTAACTGTCAAGTCCAGTGGTCAAGTCCAAAATTATGTACACACAGCACAGCTGGCAAGGGGGTCACACACACACACACACACACACACACAAACACGCAGGCACGCACGCACACACACACACAAACTTAGGCAAAATGGATTTAGCAGATGGACTATGTTGCTGAGTTGCAGATAAAGAAAAACAGAGCAGAGCTTTGCTATCAGCATCTCACAAGCTAATCAGTTTAAGCTTCACCAATACACTGATGGCCAAAGTTTGCTGCAGCTTTAGCACAGATTTTCTGTGAACTAAAGAAAGCTTTGTCAGCAGACAATACTCCTCTCAAATGGCTACTACAGTAATCTTTCTAAAATACAACAAAATACTAAATATACTCGAGGTATTGTGAAAAAAGAGCATGCATATCCTCAATCAGCTTCCTAATTCAGAATTACTTTGTGTGCCAGCAGGTTGGACATTGCAAATCAAATAATTTTACTGTCACAAATAGAGAAAGTGTTCAATAACGCTGACAAGATCACAGCAGTTGCACTGATCCAGACTATCAACACAGACAATTCGACTGTGAAAAATGAACATAATTTTGGCACAAACTGAACTTTTTATTTCAATGGTTGGATGTTAAAAAAAAACACATGACTGTCGTGTTAAATTAGTAAATAAATTAACAGACTTCAGCTTCTCACCAAGGCCATATATTTGTCTCTCTGTCGATGAGACGAGTCGAGCTGAATTTTACGAAACCTAGTGGAGATGTTGAGCAAGGAGGAGCAGTAGAAGAATCTATAAAATGTTAGTGCAGACCTGGATCACTTTCATTAAAATCGCAAAATATGGGATTGGCCTTGTAGAGTCTGTCTGAGCGCCCTTCTGGTTTTACAAACAGGAATTAGAGTAAAAGATGAGCTACAAGAGAAAATATAGCTGCTTCTTTGCCTTTGCAACTGAAAGTAAAGAAGGCCACGTGAAACGCTATCTTACTGTAATTTTGATAGATGCTAACACTATGACTACCTCTTACATTAGACAGAGGCTGCCAATTGACTTGGCTGTACTTCCATTGGTTGACAGTAATTATACTAAGGTACTATGATTAATTTGCTAATGATGTGCTGAGGTTGTGTGTGTCAGGTAGCTGTTGAAAAGAGACTATGCGTCACAATTACACAACTGAATCTATGAAATCTGCTTCATCTGTCAAACTTCATAGACTCACTTGGAGTAACAGAGAACCATCAAATAACACCTCGCAGTTTGTCTCTTTTCTGTGTGATTCTGATCGCTTACCCTACAACTACAATGATGAAGTCTAGCAGATTCCAGCCATTCCTCAGGTAGGCGTTGGGGTGGAAGAGCAGGCCGTAGGCTATTACCTTCAGGAACGCCTCCACCGTGAAAATGATGAGGAACAGATACTCCACACGCTCCTGTGCAGACACAAACATAAAAAAGTCCATTTACTCATCTGAGGGGCATCATTGCAGCATGACATAAAACGAGCAACAGACACAGATAAAATCAGAGGTAATTATAAATGAAAATTTGAAATCAGATTAAATGCAAAGTTCATGTCGCAAAGGATTGAACTATGTGCAGTAAATCTTTTCATCGTGAGAGGTGGCTTATTGGAAAAAATTGACATGCTGTAGCACTATTATATACACACGTTCATTCACAATCATAAAACTTTTTTATTTTTCCCACATCAACTCTAAGGACATTGTATATGACTTGTGAGCACTCGCAGTGCTGGCTGCCTACTCTTTCAAATTTATCAGCCAGAACAAGATGTTCTGCCGCTGTTTATGTGGCTTCTGCTTTGTGCGCATGCATGCGTGTGTGCGTGCGCATGTTTGATTATTTATATGTTAACATGTATTTGTCTAACTTGTAATCGTGTACACAATCAAAGCATTTTGATTATTTAATCAAACTGGCTCTCTTCCTGTCCTACGACGTTACTGTCTGATGGAAGGAATGATTTCATGTGCACATGTATGCACACGCAAACACACAACGGGATTTTTACTACAGAGCTCCTCAGGGATTGTTGTCATATTGCCGACCCCAGCCTGACGGGGTCCTGGGAAATGTCCTGAAATGTCCTTGAAAGAGAGCAGGATCATATAACTTTCTGACTGTTGCAAAGTCGTAAACAATTCATCATCCACCTAATCCCTTTTCATATCTGATTTTAAATGTTTTGTCAAGTTTTTAAGGAAAATGAGATCAAAGCAATGCAGAAATCTATTTATTTCTTGCTGTGCAAATACAACATCCTATATATAGAATTATTCAACATCCTCTTGCTTTCTGCCCAGTTTCTTTCTTTCTTTCTTTTGGGGGTGGGTAATAAAAACATCTATCAATCCATCCATTCATTTTATTCCCTGCTCCTCCTCTTTTTCCCTCTATTTTCCCATGGATACATACACACAGCGGGCCAGAGGTTTGGGACAGAAGGCCAGGCAGGTCTCTCTAGGATCCAGTCTCATCCCTGGGAAGAATCAGCTAAACCTGAAGAAGCTGTGTTTAAATTTACCAAAATATCTTCACAGGCTGACTGACAAAAGAGTTTAGGTTGGATTCCATCATTGACTTACATAACCACATACAATACAATACAATACAGCTTCTAAATTGTCCAATCCACTGGAATTATATGCCTTCAAGCCTGTTATTTCCTCTGATCAATGCTGACATTTTTCTCCTGACAGCTACAACACTGATGTCACTGACTGTGCAACACCTGAGTCACATGCTGGCCTTTGTGTTTTTAAATTTCTTTTTGTTTCTGGCTTGTTTTGAGGCTCTCAAATACTAAATCATTTGCACTGAGGGGAAACATCTTTTAAAACTTAAAACTGATAAGGAATAAGTGATTAGCAAGGATAAGAAAGATCTGTTTACCTCTGTCATAAAATGGACATGACATTGGTTTTGGAAAAAATAAAAATGTATTCTTCTGTAGATTATACAGCAGGGGTGTCGAACTCCAGGTCTCGAGAGCCGATGTCCTGCAGGTTTTAGATCTCACCCTGGGTCAAAACACCTGAACCAAATGGTTAGTTCATTACCAGGCCTCTGGAGAACTTCAGGACATGTTGAGGAGGTCATTTAGCAATTTAAATCAGCTGTGTTGGATCAAGGACACATCTAAAACCTGCAGGACACCAGCCCTCGAGGCCTGGAGTTCAACACCGGTGTTTATACAGGGATGGCATTTTAAAACTGAATGCCAACCTTCTCATTGAGAATAAAATTTCTTATTCTTTAATGTATTTATTTGATTGTTGGTGATTTTAAGGACAGTACAAAGAGTGAACATTCTCAAATCATTGCTGAATGAAGGTTAAATGTTTGTAATGGTGTTTAATCCAAATCAGTCCGATCAGTCTATAATCGCTAAAGTGTTTCTAAAGTTAATGTTTATGTTGGAAAAACTTGTGTATACAGTAGCCGCATTAAGATTAGATGTTCAGGCTGATGGAAATCCGAAGGCCATCCAGCTAAACAAACAAGAAAAGACTACATCAGACTCCCATTAGGCCAGTTGCAGTGACACTTAACACAGCAATTTCCAGTACCATGGGAATCAGGCATTTTTCTAACCACTGATCTCACTTTTTCTCAAGTAGTTTTTTTTCAAGTGTTTAAACTTGGTTTTTTTTAAGAGCTCTATATAAGAGCCATCTCAAAAATGTCTCATGAATCACAGCTGCCAACACATTACAACTGCAAGAGGCTGATAAAAAACAAAAAAAACTTGTCCTTTGCTTTCTTTTTTGTTCATAATGAAGCGATTAAACTTGTAAACCATGATTTTTCCCGCACTTAGAAATGCTCAAGTAACTTGACAGTCAAAGAAGTGACATGAATTATAATTCTGTGGATTTAAACAGGTTGAAACACAGAATACGTGAAAGGCGAGTCGATTTTTAGCCCAGGGATTCTGCGCCTCAGTCACCTGCTCAGAAAGCTGTCTTAAACTTGTTGTGCTCCTGCTCTCTACATTTCTAACCTTCACTCCTTTCAATTCAAGTCTGTTCAGCGTCTTTTTCAGCCCAAAAGTGTCCAGCTTAATGATAAAAACTGAGATTTTCACAGTCGACACCTGTTTTTTTTTTTCTGCGTGCGCGTTTCGATTTCAAAGCCGGCAGAACTGATTTGGTTTAATATTCACCGTTTGTACCGTCGACCCTTCACCGCACAGTGGAGTGTTAGCAGTGTATGCGGAAGTAATTAATCTCACAAACACACACATCCTCCCTCTCGAATATACAAAAGCTCTCTATCACGCTCGCGCTCTCTCAAAGATACACACACCCGAGCTGTGTATCTGCTGGTGACAGGCAGACAGTGCGGCGCTCAGAAACATAAAACAAAGAAAAACATCTGGTAGGAACAGCTTAGCCTGACACACACACACACACACACACACACACGCACACACACACACACACACACACACAGAAAACACACACTTCCTCCTTTCCTTCAATTCATCCAGTCCTGTAAAGGGCAAAATCCAAAGGGGCAAGACTAATTTGGTTAGTGACTGGAAAAAGACGAGAGAAGATGAGAGTACACGAGGAAGAGCGGCAGACTATAGAGACAGAGAGAGCGAGAAAAGAAAGCAGACAGAATGACCGAAAGGTAAGCATGTGGGGGCAATAATTCAGTTAACTGTGATAGGTCAACCAAACCACCTATCCATCAACTAGGCCAATCAGATTATAGTATCGACATTCTACCATAGCGCAGACATTGTTTCCATTTGCAATGACCTTCTGTGTTTGTGTGTATGCTGCAAGACAGGATTAGCTATTAAGCTGCTTTTGAAGGAACCCACAGATATATCGCACTGTGTGTGTGTGTGTTAAGGCATGTGTGTGCAAGAAGAAGACAAAAAAAGTATCATATCGAAAGTATTACAACAGCACAAATCAGTACCACAGAAGAAATATCCTATTCTTCACTTGTCCCTGCCAAATTCTGACCCGATCATCTGAATGTTGCAGCACAAATCAAGACACATTAGACCAGCCAGTAATGTTCTAATCTTCAGCTTTTGTGTACTTATGTGAACTGAAGCCTCAGGTGTGGCATCCGGTGTGGTCTTCTGCTGCTGTAGCCCATCTGCCTCAAGGTTTGAAGTGTTGTGCATTCAGAGATGCTCTTCTGCATGACTTGGTTGCAATCAGTAGATGGTTTAATTGCCTTTCTATAAGTCTGCAGCAATCTTCACATTCTCCTCTGACCTCTGGCATCAACAGCCCATTTTCTCTCAGAGAACTGATGCTCACTGGAGATTTTCTCTTATTTTTGTAAACCCTAGAGATGGTTGTGCAAGAAGCTCCCAGTTGATTAGCAGTTTTTGAAACACTCGGACTAGCCTTTTTGGCATAGGATAGTGAGCTGTCTAGGATGACACCAAGGCTCTTAACCTGAAGTGAAACGAAAACTGCGAAGTTGTCATTAGTGAATGTGAAATGATTTGGTGCCACTTAAATCATCTTTCTTCCACATGCTGGTGTTTGGTTTGATCTTCAGCATGTCTACTTGACATCCACAAATGCAGTTATATAACTGGACAAAAGGTAAGAAAGGAAAGAAAGGAAAGGAGGACCAAGGTTATTAAGGCCCTTGAAGGTGAGGAGAAGAAGCTTGTATACTATTTGGAAGTTCCTGAAGGATAGGGATGATGTGCTGGTAGGACGGGGTTCTGGTAATAATGCGGGCAGTTTTGAACCAATTGAAGCGTATGGAGGGATTTTTGGAGGAGACCATCTAAGAGTCAATTACAATAGTCAACGCAGGAGGTAACGACACTATGAACAAGAACGGACGCCGACTGAGTGGAAAGAGAAGGATGTAATCGGTTAATGGTGTGTAGACGGAAATAGGCAGAATGAGTGAGATCACTGATGTGAGATTTATAGGATAGTGAGCTGTCTAGGATGACACCAAGGCTCTTAACCCGAGGTGAAACGAAAACCACAAAGGTTCAATAGTGAAAGTGAAATGATTTGCCTTTAGTAGGTTGGATTTGGAGCTGATACGGATTTCAGTTTTATGCTGATTGAGCTTAAGAAAATTTGAGCTGAACCGGGATTTTAATTCAGATAAACATTCTGGAGGAATCAGGCCTGCAAATCAAATCAAATCAAATCACTTTTATTGTCACATCACATGTGCAGGCACACTGGCACAGCACATGCGAGTGAAATTCTTGTGTGCGAGCCCCACAAGCAACAGAGATGTGCAAACACAACAACACAAACGAGCAAAATACAAGAATGGCCAACCTGAAACTAATAAATATATGTACAATATATAATAGTGTATGCATTTCTGGATGTGTATACTAAATATTTTCCTACGTGTGTGTGTGTGTGTGTGTGTGTGTGTGTGTGTGTGTGTGTGT